AAAGCTCAGGTATACGTTTTACGTACCAGCGCGTACCCCGTGATTCGATTATATGGCACGCCATTGTGGGCGAACTGATCATTTCGAGCCCTCGAATTTCTTTAACTGTAACCTAGCATAAGCACATGGGCTATAGTGCATTCCACGCCTATCGAAAAGAAAAGCGCCTGCCACAGTCCAAGTCGAACCCACGACCTAGCGATTAGCAGCGCGAATAAGTCACCATTGACCATGCAACATAGTCAAATCGGTCACGTTTCGCAAAACGAGACAGGTTTGTCTTTGCGGCAATTGCTAGGCACGGATATATAGGCTAATCTATGTCTAACGCAGATTTTACGTTATCAGGCAGCTGAAGCCGAAGTCTCAAAGTCTTGACAAAATGTTATCTGTCGCTTGGAACCTCAGCTTGAGTCATCTCTATACCACGCCGTCTTTTCTTGTCCCTCGTTATTGGCGCTGTTTTTTATGTGAATCATGTCGTACCAAATCGCCCAAGCAACCACGTTAGCTCTGTAGCATGTCGCGTATATGTATAGCACGAGTATATACGGTGGATACACGTATATCCAGCACAAACATGTGTGTCCACCGTATATGCCTGCAGGCAGTGACTTTGCTCGGGGTTTCAGCCTATTCACCACCCCCGAATCCCATCGATCTTTAAAAAAATTTTCTTATGTGTGCATATGCGTGGAACATGCAAACATGCGCCCGAGCATACATAAAGGGAAACCGGACTTTTTTTTTTTTTTTTGGCACACGTAGGCCAGGAAAGTTAATGCAGGCTTGCAGTGAGTTTTATTATTCTCAGCTAGCTGTCATTGAGACGACTGATGTAACAGGCATCTTTTGTCATACGACAAGTGCACGGAACCTGCTAATTCGTACATGTATGAATAATAATAATAATAATAATAATAATAATAATAATAATAATAATAATAATAATAATAATATGGGGTTTTACGTCCTAAAACTACCATATCATTATGAGACACCGTATAGTGGAGGGCACCGGAAACTTCGACCACCTGGTGTTCTTCGACGTGTGCTGACGTCACACGGGTCTCAACCATTTCGCCGTCACCGAAATGCGACCTCCGTTGCCGGGATCGAACCCGTGACCTCCGCGTCGGCAGCAGAGCACCGTAGCCACTCATCCAATGTGGCGGACATACATACGTACATAAACACCACTCTAAGTTGAATAAAAAATCACAAAGGTTAACCCACGCGTGAAGCGCTTGTGTTTCTTGCCAGTGTCGATAGAAAGCCACCGAAGTGGGACAGTTAGCCCCACTGATCTCTACAAGTCAGCACCAGCTCTGACGTGCCTCATTTCCTTTATGTTCCTTTATAACTTCCAGCGACTCTCCAGCTATCGCAAAGTGCTGTTTTCAGACGGAGACTGTTGCACATTACTTCAGTTTTGTGCATATTAATTTTTAGACCTGCTCTTCTGCTTTCCGTGTCCAGTTGAGTAATTATGAGCTGTAATTCGTCCCCTGAGTTACTCATCAAGGCAATGTCGTCAGCGAATCGCGAGTTACTAAGACACTCTCCGTTATCTTATCCCCAACTCTTCCCAGTATGATGCTCTGAAAAACCTCCTGTAAACACGCTATGAATAGCGTTGGAGAGATCGTGTCTCCCAGCCTTACACCCTTCTTTATTGGGAGTCTGTCGCTTTCTTTATGGAGAACTATGGTGGCTGTGGATCCACTCTAGATTTCTTCCAGTATATTTATGTAGGGTTCGTCGATGCCCTGATTCCGTAGTGCCTGCATTACTGGGTATGTCTCGAATGAATCAAACGCCTTCGCGTAATCTATGAAGGTTATGTATAGGGGTGGGTTGTATTCCGCGCATTTCTCTATCACCTGATTGATAGTATGAATATGGTCTATTGTGGAGTAGCCTGCACGAAATCCTGCTTGGTCCTTTGGTTGATTGAACTCTAATGTCGCCGTAATTATGTTAGTATTATGCTTGTAGAGAACGGACTGTAGGCTTCTGGGCCTGTAATTTTTCAAGCCCTTGCCGTCGCATTTCATATGGATTAAGATGATGCTGGCATTCTTGCAAGATTCTGGCACCCTTCCCGTCAAAAGACACTTCATATTTAAATGACCAGTTTTTCTAACACAATTTCTCCGCCATATTTCAGGAGGTCCATTGTTACCTTGCCCTCACTAGCAGCTTTACCTCCTTGCATTTCTATGGTTTTGCTAACTTCCCCTGTCGTTACTGGTAGGATGTCGAATTTTTTCTCGACTATTATTGTTTCTTACGATATCATCCTGGTTGTTTTAGCTTCTGTAGAACTACTCCGCAACCTCAACTATCCTATCCATATTGGTTCTGACATTGCCTTCCTTGTTCCTTAACGTATACATCCGAGTTTTGCCTATGCACAAGTCTGCCTTGGCAGGAACTTGCCAAAGTTGCGGTATTACATATATATTCAATGGATTCTCAGGCGCCACAAAACCCTATTTCGGGTTCTCAACACGTGTTTTTAATGAGAACAACAATACGAAAAATGTTTACTGTTGATCGTGTCAGTACTTGCTCAAGTTCTCAATTCATAAAGCCTTGGGGCATAGCGTCCCAAAACACTTATCTGAAAGGACGCGGGCGACGCTGTTGTGAACCATATAATCGCGGTAACCAGAGTCAATCATGGAAATCACAACCATGCTTGGGATCAGAATTGACAACATTACGAAATAGACACCACAGAAATTGAAGCCGCTGTAGACGAAGCCGCCACCTATGTGCTGAGGCCTCAGATAGGCGAAAGTGTCACGTCTGGTTCGAAGCGGACAGCGTTCGTTTGGTGTCACAGGTCGCAGCAACGAAAAAACGACAGAAACTTGCATTTTCCCTAATCCAAAGAATACTTTGATTCTCACTTTACAAAAAAAAAATACAAGCATAAGATAGTTAAAGCCAACCAATTGCCCACTTTTCTGTAAATAAAGCATTTCTCAGCCCCAACAAATCCAAGCCTAATGATGTCACCGATGGGATGTACAACAAGGGTTTCTTCTACGAGACATGTAGACCTCTTGATATTTGCGTAATGCTAGTGGCCAGTCAAACTATCATTTCACATAAATAACTAAATATCTGTTTCCCAAATCACACATGAATTTCGATGTTTTCGCCACGTAAAAGGACCCTTGGCCTCTCACGCGCCGGCTTCCAAATGCCACATGACGCACAGAACACCACTGGGATTTTATCTCTAGATGTTGGTCATGCTAGTCGGCAAACAAGCACCGATACTTAGCCAGCAGCTACGTATCTTCGCGAAGCGATATACACGAATGAAGTACGCCTTGAAGACGGTATAAAGATGGCGCTATCTTCTGCAAAACTTTGTGGGAGCACGGCCAGATACACATCTCCTAGTAGCACGCGCTGATTAGTTCGTCTCGGCAGCTGTTTTTCGACGACCGGCTTCCCGAAAAACTGGCCCGATGACAACGCCGATTCGTTGACACGCGGAAATACCAGAGCCCAAACGAGCGAGCATCGTCGAGGTGTGTTTACCAACGGGCTTCTTGCCCGACACTATAAGCACCACGAAGCGAAGACGCAGTTGTTTTTTTTTTTTTTATCTTATTTCGGCGGGGCTGAATATTGATGAAGCAGCCGGCCAAGACTTTCCTGAAAACATGCCCCTCCTCAACTCGGGCCGAACGAATGTCCTACCTATGCAATCGGTGATACCCCGCCCCTTACGCGTGACTGGCCTTGACACAAGATTTCAACTTTGCGCAAGCGCATGCCACCTCTCGGGGAACGTCGTTTACAAGCGTTGTTTTCAAGCGCAGATTCCGAATTACATTATTTTCCCATAATTTGTAGAGACACCGAATTGTTTATCACGCCACGTTCGATGGCTTTCTGGGGACCCGCTGGTTGCCCGAAGTTGCTGCTGCGCTTGAAAGCGAGAGGACACAACGCGCCGAGCGTTGGCGCAACTGCAAGAATGACCGGTGAGTGTTCGCCGTTGTTTTGCCCTTTCGCGACTGCCGAGGCAGCAGGGCCGCCGCACGCCTCGATGAAAAGCGTGCCTACGCGTACACACACACACACTACGCTGCTTTCCTCCACAGCACGCGAGTAAAGAGGCTCACTTAGTCGACGGAGATCCGAGAAAGAAAGAAACGCCAAATGTTGCGCACGAAGCACAGGACAAGTTTCTGAAGCGTGTTTTTCCCCACTTCGGTTCCGATCGGCGAAAATAAAATTAAAAAAAAAAAGAATCGCCAAGCGTCGTTCGGACAGAGCGCGCGCCGTAGCCCGCCGGAATGTCTCGCTGCGTGCATCACAACTGTTTGCGATAATGCGCTTCTTTTATTCTTGCCGAACTCGCTGAAGCATCCAACCATTACAAAAGACGAGCGGCCAGCCAAGGCGACGTCGTCGCAACTGCGTACGAGACAGTAAAAAGAAAAAGTAACCGTCGCCCAGCGTCGAAAGCGTTCCTTCTGGGCGGTACGGGACGGTTGGCTTTGCCCGGACGCCGCTTGCAACCGGTGCAACAACAAACCGAGCAATTAACAGATAACACCGTAACCACACACGCAAACCACCCGTCCAAAGCGTCCCGAGTAAAAGGGGGTAAGGAGGGGAAGGGAAGCTCGCTAGCTCACACCCGACACCTGACAGAAAATCGACAGGTTGTTTCCGTGCCAGGCGGCCCGTACATGGAACGCATCGGTATCCCCCGCACATCTCTTAACACCGATGTCACCTATTTCCAGAACGGCGGTGAAAGCCTTTGAGATCGCAGAGTTCTTTCGGCGTCCCGAATCTAGATGCTTAATATTTTTGTTTTGGTTTTTTTTGTTCTTTTAAGTGGCGCACGTTCGCTGTAATGTGCTCGCTGGCTGACGGCAAAGTATTCCTGCGGCTTCCAACTCGCCGCGCAGCCAACCAAGTTTCGGCAGTTCCGCAGATACCGAGACGTCTCGAAAACTTACCGCAGTGTTCCTCGGGGGTAAACTTTTTCCCGTCGGCAAATGGGCACCTCAACATGACAAGTCACACGCGCACTCACACACATACACACACGGACACGCACAAACGGATGGCCAGCGAACTAGCGAACAACCAGCCGAGAGCACGGCCAACCAACAGTTTCCTGGGGATGCGTACCCAGAGAAAACCCGAGACGCGCTGTTCCGTTCGCCCGCGGCTTTTTGTGCTAGTTTCGTTTTTGGTGAACGGCCCGCGCGCTTCGGCAGTGTCGAGAACCAATCAGCGGCAAATCACATCTCATTTCGCGAGCATCAAAGGCTGAGATATTGACGTATTTAGTAACGACGCAACGAAAACTTAAACGCACGTCGATGAGAACACATATATTCCCCTGTGGTCAGTTAAATGGGACGCCGCTGTAAAAATGTATTGGTGTCAGCGCGCGCCCATGCACGCAGCGCGAATTAAGATATTGCACCAACGTTAACATTTCGCAACATTGCTCATATTGGCATAATTTAGCACTTCGGCACGCTGACACGCGCAATAGATGCACTGGATGCCACCGACGTGAGTGAGAGAGGCGCGACGGAAATTTAATTAGGGTAATTGGAGGTTTTACACGCGTTAAGTCTACAGCGCAAAGAGCCATTCGTAGGATAAGTACACATCACTACGTCGACGTACAATATTTACGTATTGCCTTCAATGTTTGTTTTTTTTCTTCTTAACGGTGAAACACTGTCATTCTCATACAGCTCGCGCAGCCGCAGTTCCACTACAATTTAAGCATAGCCTCCTAGATGGTTTAAGTTAGCGTTCACGTACTTTTCAATCAATTACCAGTATAAATTTTATCATTTGACACATTCCGTTTAAATATTAGCATTATTTTAGACGTCCGAGTAAAATAACGTTGAAAAAATGAATCGCTTTATTTACGCTCATGCGCGCGAGCGAACGTGTGTTCCACGTTTTGGGAGGAGCTATCGTCAGCTGCTGCAAGCCGAGATCCGCGATAGCGAGGTAAAGCTTCCTGTCCTGTTCGCTTTGCGTTTGGATTAGATTTCATCTTTACGTTACGCTTCTTAACAGGTTTATCTGCGAGATTCTCCGCGAGTCCATCATTGTAACTTGTGAAAACTATTTGTACGGCTTCTAGGCCTACGTAGGCGACGCCGAAACTCACTCCCACGGACTCGGGAGGGTCCAATATCGAAAGGCGCAGTGTGAGCTGCTTTCTTCGTGATGCTGTTCTTAAGCTAGTTCCCAGTTCGTTTCAAACATTTCTCTTTCGCGCAGATGTCTGCCACTACGAACAGCGCAAGGTTTGAGGATGAGATGAACAACATCCCGCTCGCCGACGAAGATGCGCAAGGTAAGGAGCGTTGGAGATTTTTGTCAGCATCGATGAACAGGTGCTTCCTTGTCAAGCCCACGCGGCATTTCTGCAGTTTCCTATCTCGTTGCTAATGGGATTGCTTTGCCAAAACAAAAGAACACAGCCAGCTTTTTGTGTGGCAGTAGTAGTTTTGTTAAAATCGATATGCACGATCACACCGCAGTCACCAAAACGAAACCGAACAGTAATACTTTCAGTCCTTTAAAAAAAATGAGACGCTTTTCTGGTAGCATGTGTCAGGTTAACAACGATTCTTGTCTTGATCTTCACGTACCGATTCGGGCTGCTAACTCGCGCGGTCTTAAAACTTTGCTAAGGCACGTTGCCGGGCTAGTTGGTTGAGATTCATCATATTCACTGGTATAGCGCACCACGACAAGGACACACACAAAGGAGAGATGCACACAACACAGCGCTGTGTTGTGTGCATCTCTCCTTTGTGTGTGTCCTTGTCGTGGTGCGCTATACCATTGAATATGACGGTCTGAGAAACTTGCCTATCGTAACATTAAGGTAAAGGTTTGTGCTCAGTGAAAAGCGAGCCAGCTTTTGCTAGGATTTAAGTTTTCTCAGCCACTGCAACAGCTCACCACAACCGTTCTGGTCAGAACATTTTGTAAATGTTGTAACAGCCGAGTGGGAGTTGAACATTGATGCAACATTGCTGAATCCATCTGCGTATGACTTACTTTGGTTGCCATACTCACTTTTATGTATAACAAACGACGCTGCAAAGGCGCAATTGTTTCCATTTGGACCACAAAATATGTTCTTTCACATATGAAAGAGCAGTATGGGAATTTACGTTATCTCAAAATATGACATATTTTTACCTAAAAGGTGTTGCAGATCTCATTTCGTGTATGACTGAGTGAGCAGAGTGCCTTATTTCTGAGTCCAGCGGCCGTGGCATGCTATTTGGTTCATCTACTGTAACATGGTATTTCACATACCAGAAGTACGATATCTACAAATACTGTGTAGTTTGGTATATGAGGGTGGCGATTTGGGCTTGTTGGTATGGTTGCATGATGATGGATGGTAGCGCAGACAACGAACACGGACAAGAGAAGGCACATAGACACAACACAGCGCTGTGTTGTGTCTATGTGCCTTCTCTTGTCCGTGTTCGTTGTCTGCGCTACCATCCATCATCATAGTTTGGTATAGTTCTATTTCTGCGTGTTGTATTTCTAATATGTACTACTGCTGTTTAAAGTGCCTCAAACCAAGAACTATTCCATTGCGAGGTAGTGTACAGTGCGACTCCTACTACCATCTTGCATAGCTTCGACGACATTACCTGATATTTATGCAATCGAGTAAAAGGGTCGTAGGTACTTTTCTAAAGATTTTAAGTTTATGAGATGGTTAAAACTTTCTTCATGTGGTGTTTCTAGGCTGCCTAGTTCAATTTTCCTTCGTATACATTAGTGGAGTAGCACAAAACATGACTTTTTTATTTGCAAGAGAATTTTGGACTTGTCGATAAAGGCTTCCTTTTCTCAGGCACCAACAACATTTCAGAGAACTGTAGCTCTGCAGAAAGTATTAGTGCAATTATCGATGATGCACTTCCATCTCATGTTCTTGTCTGTCGAGTTCTTGTATGTTGTTGCACTGAGCTAAGACATTTTTGACATGACACACACCAAGAGATGACTGATACAGTGATGTCATTAGGCGAGTGTGACCTATATTTTTTGAGGTAAAGAGCCAGTGAGTTCATTGTACCATGCTATTTCTCTTCGCTTCTGTCTTTTCACGCTGTCCTGTCATGCCTTCAGAAGTCAACAGGCGGAATATTCCCATTCAATGTCTTGATGTTGAGCCAATCACGTGATTGTGACCTTCCTCAATGCTCTGCTGTACCCGCAGCTATGTGTTATTGCAGCTACTACAAAACCCAACTTTTTCTGTTGTGCAGATGAAAGCGACACATCTGTTTCAGCTGGCAGTGCAATAGGAACTCAGAGCATAGAGTCTATCCCGTCCACGTACACCAATGGAAGCAGCAGTCCAGCACTGACCTGTAAGTTGGGAAGAATAACTCCTGTATGGTGTAAAGTTAGGCTGAAACTCTAAAAAAACTGTGGCTCCTCCCCCCCCTCCTCCCCTTACCCAATTTGTTTCCATGGAAATGAGTGAGCTACACCTTCATCCCTACGCACTTATACTTTCTATGAGCTCTTAGGGATCAAAAATAGTTAATAAATAGCACTTCTTAAAAGGTATGTTCTCTTCCACTACATGTTTGGAAAAAATGCAAGTTTTAAACCATCATGATAAGCATCCAGAAGACAAGTGCACATTTAACCTTTTCACATACCATAGTATAGACTGCATGTGAAATGGTTATACAGTTAAACCCCTCAATAATAAAAACCCTCAAGGATAAAATCTGTGGTAATGAAAAAACGTGGCATTTTTGGCAGACGTCCATAGAGTTCAATGCCTTTGCCTTTTTTCCTGAGTGAAGAGATATTGAAAAGCACTGCTGCAATAAGAGAAGCTTCATGTAGTGATCTCCAACAGTTTTTTTTTATTTACTCGTAAGGTAGTTGAGAGCCCACCAGTTTGAAAACTGCAGCACCACTCATTTGACAAGTCGGGCATGTGTATTCCCGCCAGCAAGCTTCGCTGCGACCATTGCTGTTTACATTTGGTCACGTAATGATGATATAGCAAGACGATTTTTTCTTTTCTTTTTTTTTTCTGCCTGAGAAACATTATTGCTCACTGCTCTTTTGGCAACTGTGTTGGCACGTGGCATTTTAAGTGATAACGCCCATGAAAGTGACGTCATGCCGTCAGGCATTTTGTAGACAGGATAACCACTGGTCGTTGAGGGTAACTGATTGGATTCCCAGAGAAGGCAAGCAGGTTAGGGGGAGACAGAAGGTTAGGTGGACAGATGAGATTAAGAAGTTTGCGGGTATAAATTGGCAGCAGCAAGCACAGGACTGAGTTAACTGGCGGAACATGGGAGAGGCCTTTGTCCTGCAGTGGACGTAGTCAGGCTGATGATGATGATGACTCTAAGAATGCTTTTTATATCTTTTTAGTCCTGTTTTCTGCTTTATGCTATATGTGCAGCTTCTCCACGACTACATCTTGCACTAAACTTACTCATTTGGAACTCTTGTTCATAGCACTGGATCCTGACATGAGCCCTGACGAAGCTGAAGAAAAAGCCAGGCTGATTTCACAAGTACTCGAACTACAAAATACACTTGATGGTAAGTTACAAGTACTAATGCCGTACATCTTCTTCAAACGACCTGGTAACAGTGCATAGGTCCAACAAACTCTTTGCCACTGAAAGAAGATGTTTTAAATTTTAAAAAAAAAATATACTCCTTTAGTGTTGCCATTACGATTATCGTGCCGCTCGATTTAGTGACCAATTTTTCCTTTTGTGAGAGGTGATATTCTTCTTGATGTTACAAATTCACGGTCAAGATCTAAATAGCATTTATAAGAAAGTTGCTCTGGAAATTTTCTTCAAGAATGCACTTCAATATTGTTGATATATTTATTCAGTCAGTAGTATCCGGTTAGCACCCATCAAGCTGCTGTGCATTGGAAGTGCAGACTTCAGGGTAGCAGAGTTGGCCAACCACACAGTCACACATTATCACCACTGGTGTTTTCATCGATACTTGACAAACTAAAGAGCTACGATTCGCAGTCTTCATGAGTAGCCGTAGCCCAACGTTCTGCCAACAATCAAGGGGGAAAGTTTCAGGGGGTCAAATGCCCTCTGAAATCTTTTCATGCTTTAATTTTTTGGGTGATGCTAAAGTACTCATGCATTTTCACATTGACCACCTGTTGCCAAAATCAGCTGTTCTACACATAAATGCGCCCCCAAAGAAATTCCAGGGTTCTGTCTGCGACACATATCAAATACCATATATTGCTACTATTTAAACAGTGTGCTGCAGTTTGGTTTTTGGAACGAAACATGCACATCATCACTCCACGGTCTCAACGTTGATGTGGATATCAGCAGACATGCTTTGCAGGTGACGCGTTGCATGGCACAGAGCTCCTTAGGCTCCACATTGCAAGGCAGGAACTCCTCACAAACTAAAACACAATGATCATCCAAAACCTTTATGCAAGCAGCCAATGGGATTGTTGGAAAGTGCTGCACTGAGTGGCTTTATAAAGTAACACAAGAAATTAAGGATGTACGGAGAAGTCTGAACTCCTGTCGGCTGTCTAGGACTGGAAATTTATATTGGTAGAGGCTGTGCTTTGAAGACCACAAAAATTCAAGGCACAGGGAGCTACAAACGAGGGTAAATACTGATACGTGCGCGCTAGCTCTTATAGAATGTGTCCTCTGCTCACTATGTTGTTTTGTCATGTATTTCATCGACTGCTGATATTACTCGGAACACATAAGTTTACATAGAGGGCCAACTTTGCTATCATTGTGCTCAGGTGGACACGAAAGAGAAATAGTGTTTTCGGACAGGGGCATCTTCACAAAATACTTGTAATCATTTGATTGATTAACAGAAAAACTGCATGTCAAATTTGCTCTACAAGCTAAGTGCAAAGCCAAATTGTTTATAAATGAGTACTTGACATCCATCAAACGCTTTGCACATTATGACACAAGCGCTGGTACATTGTCTTATAGACTTTGAGCAACCTGTGCGCACCATGTACGAATCTTGAAGTCACGTCAAGGAGTCCTGCGGATTCTAAACATTGCTTTGAGCAAGTTGTGATGGTTATCTTCATAGCTTGCAATAACATTCATAGTTTCTGTGTCAAAAACATTGGTATCGATGCATGAGCTTTAGGAAAGGGTGAAGTGAAAAAAGTGATGGCATATAGTTTGTCTAAAGCCTTGCTCTGAAGCATGCGAGTATTTACTTTCATTATTTCAGCAACGGCTAAATGTGGTTAATTATTGTTCGCTCGTGCCTCTCAAAGTAACTAAACATAATTGTAGATAAATCAAGTTAAAGCCCCACTGAATTGTTTATTTTAGAAGCTTTTAGTCATGCATCCACTTGTGTTTTCATCGTAAACATTTGCACAAGGACTGCTCCGTGCCTACACTGGTGACCTGAAATTAGGCTTGCAGCGTTGTCCCGAGTTCCATTGCAGTTAACTTCTAGAAAGGTTAATGTGCAATGCAAACTGCAGTGCCAAAGATATCTCTTCGACATTGTGGCAGACTGATGCTTTTGCACAATTTTGACATTCCTTGTGAAAAGAAAGTGCTTGAAAGCTCCCATATCACACGTTTGCCTACATTAAAACCCTCTATGCGCATTCAGTCACAACAGTGTGTGTGATGAGCCTTAAAGAGATGCTGTTGACAGTTTGTGACTTACATTAGCCAGTGCACAATAACTGCAACGTGGTGTTGCCACCAATATCTCTCTCTTTCTTTTTTTTTTTGAATTTGACTCTGTACGGTACCCGTTTGGGCAAGTTGTTGGCAATCCATGAAAAAAAGGTTTTTTTTTTCCGCACCTATAGAATACAAGGACCAAGGATCAGACATTCAATTGAAAGATTGCACGTATGTCTGTATAGTCCCTACTCCTGATGTTTTACAGGCGTGCATACATCGCCTGTATCACAGATTCTCTGACTTGCCGAACCCCCTTTAGGGCACGACAGGTTTGCTGTGTGTGCCAGAAGTACAACATACAGGAAAAATTTTTGTAGAGAATAGTGGTGGGCGAACAAAGGCACAGCACCACCACCCAACACTGCTAACACTATTCTTTATGAAGGTCAGGTGCCAACAAGCCCCTATTTCAACTTTACTGGCTTCCCGCTGCAGTGGTCTTGTGACTAAGGTACTTGGCTGCTGGCACACAGGTCGCGGGATCGAATTTCGGCTGCAGTGACTGCATTCTCGATGGAAACGAAAACGCTTCGGCCCGTGTGCTCAGATTTGGGTGCACGTTAAAGAACCCCAGATGGTCGAAATTTCTGGAGCCCTCCACAACGGCATCTTTCATAATCATATGGTGGTTTTGGGACGCTAAACTCCACATATAAATCATCAATCAAATCAACTTTACTGGCATAGTTGAAGCTTGCTCCCATATTCTAGAATGTCTGTCCACTCAGCACTGCACGTTGTTAAGGTCGCAGGAGGAAGTTCGCTGATGGCATCCCACCGCTGCCACCAGTTGTTGCGAATGGGGTCTACCCGGTCTCTTGTGGTAGCGTGGTGTAACCCGGTGGAGGAAACGAACGCTGACAAGAAGAGGATACGAAAAACAAACAGGTTTATGACACTATTTACACATATTTACAGCAAAGAAAGGTTAGTGGTTTCACAAACCACGAGCGTGGTGGTTGAACCGTTATATGGTTCATAGCGACGTCCAGCACTCTGCGGCGTCGTTTTAAGCCCTGTCGGGTTCCTCCTCTCCGAGTGGAACACCAATCACACACACACAACAGGTGAGGGGGACGAGCATGCATGGCCCACGTGCACGTCCAATATTGAGTCGTGATCACTGCACTGCAAGGTGGCGCCAGCAGGGCTCTTCCTCGTCGTGTGTGTGTGCCGCTAGTCGAGAGGTAACAAGATCCTGACCGCATACATCAAAGGGTCCGCCGATTTGTTCGCTCAATTAGCGGGGTGATTTGCGGTGGCCGCCACGGTCTCTTCCAAAGAAGATGCTGTCTTTGTTGTCCTCTCTGGAACGGTTTACGGCGTCCTGGCGGCACGACGTCTCATCCTCCGGCTAGCCGGGACACTAGCCGGGACAATGCCTGACGAGCATAGGCAGCCGGCCGGTCGGCTACTTGATTGAGGATTAAAAGAGCGCCGCTCCCCTGTCAGCTCTGGCGCCGGTCACAACAGCTTCCCCATCGCCAGATGAGTCGCCGAGGTCATCAGTCACCGCTGCTGCTCGAAGGGATGACGAAAGGGTCCGTAGTTGAAAGTTAGGAACTCACCTTTGCTTGCCACATGGTCTGGTTAATTGTTCAAATCTTCGACAGCGTCTGGCAGACTGGGCGCCGAAGGGGTTGAGAGCCTCCCCAGTAGACGGGCTTACGCACAATGGCGACTGCCCAGACAAATTGCCGGGCCAAACGTAACAACGTAGACATGAGAAGTTGATGGTAGTGCCACACGTCAGCAGAAAAGGTCATCGCATTTCCGGAATAACTCTGATTTTCAGTAGAGCATTAATGCTGTGCTCAGCTCTATTGAGTGTACGAACAAACTTCGAGTCAGTGTTTCATGTTCAAAGACTGCAAACACAGACGTAAGAGATAACATAAAGACATCACAAATGCCTTCTCTCTTATGTCTGTGTTAGCATGCCTTGTCTTTTAACATCAATGCGTACCAAATAGCTCAGCTCTCTGTTATTCTAAACTATGAGTCAATTTTTTATTTTAAGATATGGTGGTTAGCGTCCCTTTGATTATGTTTGGCTGGGCAGGATAGATTCTTAGTTCTCTTACTTTTCTAATGACCTCTTATACTCCTCTTCCACAGACCTCTCCCAGCGTGTGGATAGCGTGAAGGAGGAGAACCTGAAGCTCAAGTCTGAGAACCAAGTGTTGGGGCAATACATTGAGAATCTCATGTCTGCCTCCAGCGTGTTCCAGTCCACTTCGCCAAAGACCAAGAAGAAGTGAACGTAGTTTTCAAAGGCTGGCTGCGTATGCTTCAGAAGAGAAGCCACTGCTGCTGCTGCTTTAAGACACACGAAAGGGGATACAACCAGCACACTCGAGAACCACTGCTACCTTTTGCAGCATGGCCATTAGAAGTATGCTTTGGTGTTGACATGTTGAGGCCCAGCTATCTCTTGTCATAACGCCATCAATTGCTATGTCTTGCGAGTACATATTACATCGGCATTAACATTTCAGCAGGGTGCATAATGGCACACAAATAACTATCAGATTGAACTAATGAAACAAATATTAAGCTGTTTGATTATCTCTTTGAATCAGGTATGATGCATTAATTGACAGAAAAATTTTCACATTATTTTTTAAGTATGTTATCTTGTCAACTGCACATGATGAAACTCCTAATTGAAACGAAAAAAAAAAAGGGGGGTTTTGTCCTTGTCCAGTGGATGCCATGCTCTGTTGCTGAACAGCGGAAATTCTAAAGCTAAACACAGCTATGCAAAGTTGAATGTCAGCTGCATATGCTATTTGGCCGTAAATAGTTTAAGAATCTGCTGCTAGATGCAAATCCTTTGTCTTCTAATCAGAGAAAACATACACTTCATTTGCAACAAAATTTACGCAACAGTGGCACCATCCGCTGCAACTCCTTTAGCTGCACTTGACAGGATTTCAGGCAGTATGCATTTCTCATTTTGTTGTAAAAACAAGCAAGGCTGGCTTTCTAAATTTTTGTAATAAATGCTGACATAGTTGGGAGTGTGAAGGTTCAGTGAATAGCTTAGTTTTAATTGTTCCTAAAGTTCCCTTCATGCTTTTAATAAGACAAACTTCATTATCTGCATTGTTATCACACATATTATAAAGCTATGAAACTAGGATTTCAAAAATGTTTGGTTCAGTCATGACATGGAATGTACATTGATCACAAACTATTTGGGAGATATTCTCTTTTATACGTATTTTAACTTCTGGCACTATTCCATTCAGTTTCAGAAACCACTATTTGCCCACCTTCTAGTGTCTGGCAACTTTTGTGTGCAGCAAGAAATGCTTTCTTTCATTAGCTTTCCCTCTCTAAAAACTACTCCGCTGAAGTCGCCTAGTGGCTAAAGTACTCGGCTGCTGACCCATAGGTCAGGGGATCAAACCCCGGCTACGGCTGCTGCATTTCGATGGAAGCAAAGATGCCGTAGGCCCGTGTGCTCTAATTTGGGTGCACGTTAAAGAACTCTAGATGGTCAAAATTTCCAGAGCCCTTCACAACGGCGTCTCTCAGAATCCTACGGTGGTTTTAGGATGTTAAACCCCACAGATCAATCAATCTCTAAAAAATGTAACTTCTGTGGTTACATGCACGAAAACCGAGATACAGCCATGAGGTGCATCATAGTGGGGAATGCCAGATTATAATCACGTAGTGTTCTGTTCACCTACGTCGCAGATTTTTTTTTAATGTTGCCTCCATTGAAATGGAGTGGCTATAATGAGTAGTCAAAATGACACTCTCAAGCTTATGAAAAATCCTTGTAACACTGGCTGTTGCTTAAGCCAACATTTCGATGAGTGGACTTGTCTTCAAGGCTGCATTTTGCAGCTGCTGTGGCTGGGAGTGTCAAAGGAGCTAATGTTGAAGGCTGCAATATTGGTTCCAGCAACACCTCGGGCATGTTTCAAGAATATTTAATCGCTTGAATATTTATTTATTTTAATATCCTTAAGCTCATCAGCACAACACCTTAGCTGCTGAGCTACCACAGCAGCTTCACGAAATTCTGAAAAAATTAACATGATTTGAAATAGTTTCCATGTTTGCTAACATGTATTCTGCAATCTACACTGTGTTTCTAACACATTTGGTATTTTTGCAACTCTGAACTACTAAAGTGGGAATAGAGAGTGTCTGACTGTCTTCTACCTTCATCATTGACTTAATGTTGAATAAGTGATATTGCTAGATGTTTGCTTTACTGTCTAAACATGCTCCAAAACCCAGTGTCTTAACTATGCTTGATAACATCAGGAAAGAGTAATTTGGTTTTACATATGTGCTAGCCACGTTGCAGATGCAGAGATACAAAAGTCACCTTCTAGTGAAAAACAAACTCAACCTAAAAGAGTCGGACTATACCTATAGTTTTTTATTGTACTTCTTGTAGCAGCCTTTGTCCTATGTGGGGCTACAGGGCTGTTTTGGCACTTTCATCATGACTCCTTGCATGTAAGCTTGCCAAAAAGGTGAACTTGCTGCAGTCATGACGTGATATGTCCCATAACATAAGATGCAAACATTGCCGTAAAATGGGAGAATCACTGAATTTAGCAAACCTCTACTAATTAAAATGGAGGTGAATTTTGGCCTGCTTTCTTATGCCTGAGTTGACTCGCAATCTTTCATTTTAATTGTTAAAATCTTCTGATTACGTTTTATGTGCATTTACAATACCATAATCGAAGTGAAACCCCGACCTTCGTAATTGAAGTGTGCATATTTTCAAGTTTATAACAATTCAAGCAAAAAGTATTCATTTCAATATTTGTTGATTGTAAGCACTGCATGAGTGACCAAAAAAGGTTGAATATATGTAAGTGCCAATGTAACATAAGCTTCAACGCCTGTGTTCACTACTGCATTACTTTAGTTGCCATTAGAATAATGGGTCATTTGTAAATTCTTCTAAATCTTAGTATTGCTTTGTTTTGTAAATGCCCTGCAGCTTTTTTTTCGTTTCTGGTGATTGATATGTATACATAGCATGTTAGTGTACAAACATTTCTATAAAGCCGTAAAGTGTGTCACATTAGGCTACAACTGAGAATTCCTTCAGGTTGCGCAGATAAATTTGTATAGTCATCATTCCCGTGCCGGATAAAGTGTCTTTGTTGTCCTGCATTTGAACCCTGAGAGTTTGAACATGGCGGCTTGTTTGAAAACAGTAATCATGATCCAAACTGCTTGCTATTGGTAATACTTTGCACTCGGTCATTCCGGGTGACAAACAGTATGCATGTTAACTGTTTCATAGCATTCTTGGCAGGAAAGGAGTGAGTGGACAATTATCAAAATAAAGGCGAGCAGTATGGATACTGATGGGGACTGTATAAGCTATGAAAGATGAAAATTCTAATAAAACAGTGTCAAGGGCTCCGTGTAATAATATTGCTGCTGTTCTCCGTGAGCAAAAAACGCCAATGAATGCATAGAAGGCTTAGATTTAAGCTATATTTCTCAGGAGAACTGCTGTAATCAAAAGAAAGTAAATGAGTTGAAAATTGCGGTAAATTTGCATAAATGTAAACTGCACGACAACTTCGTTGTTCAAGCTTAGTAAAGGTGGTTCTAGCAAGCAAGTGTGCGCTCCAGCACTGTATGCCCTTGGGATGATGTGATTACTGCTCCTAACTCCTGTCTAATTTCACAGGAAAGGCTATTCCCGCCCTCACGGCACAGTTGAGATGTTGACCGATAAGCAAAGCATAGCTAGCAAATGAGAAGACAATGCAAGTTGGACTCAATAACGCATTCTTGTTGCACTTCAAGAAGCTCGAGCATCCTCACACTAGATTTTTATTTTCTTTTTTTAAGAGTGCCCAGTGCTTGATTTTTACTTATGAATTCTTAGTGTGTAACTCAAATGATTATTGTGACTAGCGTGAACATGCTTTCAAACACTTTATGCCTATATAAGGATATCCTTGCTGAAGGGTTACTTCTGGTGTGCTAACACGCTTTGCTTGTAACTTGGACACTGCAGTAATTTGCTTCCTCATTCCCTGATGAGTGTCGTTGCATAACTATAGGAAATGTTGTTGATCACGTTAGCAGATAGAATCAAGCCCGAGAGGGCTGGAATGCAGGTTTCTTCATTGCCCCAACAGAATATTGGTGTTCAATGGAACAAATGTTCTTGGTGACGTGTAGAGATAGCTTGGTTGCAGATGGTGAGAGGGTTCAACCTTTTTTGCTTTCACTCTCGGTAAAAATGAAGTGATGATGTGTTTTGTTGAGAAGTGTATGTACCGCCTTGCAGTGAAATGTTAGCTGGGACGTTATTTGCCGTGCCAGTATTCATGCTGGCAGTGACTTGGGAAGGATGCAATCCATTTAAGCAATGACAATATGGGACAGTTGAGAGTGTTGCTTCGGCATTCTCGTGCTTATCGGGCATTGAACTGGACAACTGTGGCGCTATAGCGTCTCTTAACATTTGTAAGACAACTTTATTTCTTCAGCAGTAACTGGCTTTAGACACACGTGTCAAAAAAAAAAAAGAAAAACTGGTTGTTGGCTTGTTCGGGGTGGCTATAAGAGAGGTAGAGTTTCTCATTTCTCTCCACGTGGTGTGCATTTTTTGCTGAACTTTTGACAGCACACTATCACATGTGCATGTTTACTGGTGAATTGAGCAAACAAGCATGCTAAATTGATAAAGAAGGATGTGCATGTAGTGAACACAGATATACCATTTTCGGAAAGAGTAGCTGTGCTGTTGGGCTTCCTGTTCTCACAGCTTTCCATTTTAGTTCGTTTCAACAGTACTAGATGTTCAATGGTCGGGTGTGGGCCTTCTTTTCTTTGCAGTTCCTTAACCGTGTCAAGACAGTAAACAGTCTGTTTTTTGAGCAGTTGTGAAAATATTGTATCAAGTTTTGCTGCCTGTTGGCTCGGATGTTTTTATTGTTTTATCAGGAGCCATGCCATGCTGCTTGTGTGCACGCTTAATGCAGAATACGCATGCCATGCCACTCCTGCTCCACCGGCACAAGCTGCGATTTCTTTTTACATTTTGAAACTTGAGTCTAGTCACATGACAATGAGAGCTTCATTTTGCTGTCTGTGTGATCTCAATAAAGACCACTACATGCTGCAACCAGTTGCATTTGTCTTCATTTCAACAGTTAGCGGTTTCCATAGCACAGTTTTTTAAATGCATATGACTGAATGTTACTGTGTCCAGAAATGAATTCAGTACACTATCAAAAATGTTAAATTAGACATTGTACCTGCCCTAATGTTTCAAACAGTGCAGCAGTCGCCAAAGGAAAAAGGTTTTCTTTTTTTTTTTTTTCGCATTGTATCATACTTTAGCTAGAAGACATTTTGCATCTCCCACAAAAATGCACAACATTTAATGGGATTGTACACTACACTAGAAACACTGCAAAACATGAAAATGTTCAGCCATCACTACAACCATTCCTGCCAGTTAAAAAAAAACTGCTTCATGCTAGCTGTGCTGGTGCAAGTTTTTTTAGCAAGTAAAATTAAGGCACATCATAAAACTTACAAAAAGCTGCTTCACAGAGATTGTTGTTTGAGATGGGAAGCATTAAAAAAAAACCATTATATCTGCACCACTAAATGAGCAGATACAGAAAAGGATCAGACATGAGCATTAACTATAACTGGGTTTGATGGGGTGATGAATAGTTTTAAACATACACGTATGAGCAATGTTTTTTTTTAAGGGCCAAATCCAAACTGAAAATAGCTCAATTAAGACTCTACTGGCTTATTACATACTCTCAGCTTTCCTCTGAAAAAGAATCTAAATAATACTTGGTACAAATTTATTGTTTCTGTTTTAGGTGACACTTGAGAGTATCTATCCGCCAATACAGCTTCATTTGAGCTTGTTCTGGATTTGGTAAACTTTGAAATAAAGCTCCTCATACGTGACCACTGCATGATTTTGCGAAGCAACACCACACGCACTTGTGCAGTCACCCCATTATATCGAGATGAAAGTTCATGCTTGTGTCAGTTCATTTTGGGCCCTCATTCTTCAAATGGTTCCTTAATAGCCTGATTATGTATTGTTGCCAACTAGCACAAGCCAGTATCCACTTTGAAGTCTTGGCACATATGTTTGTTTTTTGCATTATGCCTGTCTTAAAATAGCAGCTCATCCACAAAACAACATTAAGTAAACATAACTATGAAGTGGGCTATACCAGATCCCATAGCAGGCAGCTTGAAAATCATTACGAGCACATATGTTCTTTAATGTGCCACCAAATGCACGTTACATGATCATTTTTACATTCTGCGTTTTTCTAAATGCGCATTCAGTGCCGATACCAATAATGCAAGCTTTTTGCTGCAGAATGATATAGCAACTGCAACTGAAAGGTGTCAAGCTTCACATTATTTGGGCACTGAAGAGCCATTTGTTATGTTCTGCTGCAGGCACTGACATAGTGAAAGACTGGTTTTTTGTGTGAGGCATTCTGCAATCTGTATGAAGGAAGATACATTTGCTTGTTGTTGCACACACACTTTGCTTCTTGTTTCACGCTTTGCAGTCACAAGGTCAGCGCTAAAATTTGCTTTGAAATTCGTGCCGGCTTCTTAGAACTGCACCATATATGAGTTTGGAAGAGTACAGCAACAGCTCAGAGCAATACATAGGCACTTTTCAGTCTGCCTCCAGAATGTGCTCTAGTACATGGATATCAACCAAATGCCACAGGTGCGCATTACTCTGCACACTTCTGCTTGTTATTCGTACATCTTGCCTGTGAGTGCGTGCTGTACGTATTTGAGTTGGATATGGCATGTGTCATCAATCTGTTTCCAAGTCCCACAAGGGATTACCAGGCATTAGTCTACACACGCACCTCCAGCACTTGAAGATTGCCTCTTTTTCTGTCATAAAATATATGGAGTTTCATGTACTCAATTTTTCAGTAACACACAAGGTGGAGATAAATCACGCAAAACAGAGAGCCTTTAGTATATTGTAACGTACAAAAGCCACTCACTCAAACACAATCCAACACAACACTGTCTTCGTCGTTCTCTTTTCCAGTCTACCCCTCACGCGCCGGTCACCCCGTTGTTATGATCCACTACATTTGCCGCCCCCTCTCCCCTGGAGTCTGAGCCAGAAGACGAAGAGGCGTGAATACAGAAATCACGCGGCACATAAAGTTTTAACTGGTTTGCATGGGTGGGAAAAACATGGTTACTGCTTTTGGTGCCCAGTTCCGGAAGAACTTACAGGCGGAACGTAACAGGGCCTAGGGCTTTCACCACGCGCAATGGGCCAGCATACCGGGGAAAAAACTTCTAGCAATGCTCTGGAACACGCTGGTTGCGTCGAACCAGCACTAGGTCTCCTGGTTTGAAAGGGGTGTGGTTCTCGTTGGAAGGCGAGCGGAATTTCGCCCGACGATGCGCTATTGCCAGGTGGGCTCTAAAGCGAGCCTTCCGAAGAAGCTCCGAAGTACTGGTATCATCTAGACGGTTTTGCGTTGTGTTCAAACCAAAGAAGCTCTCTCGCGGAAGCCTTGGCGTCCTTCCATAGACAAGCCTGAACGATGACTCCCGTGTGATTTCCTGCTGTGACGTATTGAGGGCGAAGACAGCTGCGGTGACTTATTCGTCCCAGTTGTTATGACTGGGACTCACGCATGACGACAGTATGTCCTTTATGGTACGGTTTGTACGTTCCACCAGACCGTTTGTTTGTGGGTGCTGAGGAGTGGCCGCGGCATGCTGAATTCCATGGTCGTTCAGTAGGTTTTGTTAAGGTTCGGAAGGAAGGTCGCTGGAGGATACGAAAAACAAACAGGTTTATGGCACTATTTACACATATTTACAGAAAAGAAAGGTTAGGGGTTTCACAAACCACGAGCGTGGTGGTTGAACCGTTATATGGTTCAGAGCGACGTCCAGCACTCTGCGGCGTCGTTTTAAGCCCTGTCGGGCTCCTCCTCTCCGAGTGGAGCACCAATCACACACACACAACAGGTGAGGGCGACGAGCATGCACGGTCCACGTGAACGTCCAATATTGAGTCGTGAACACTGTACTGCAAGGTGGCGCCAGCAGTGCTCTTCCTCGTCGTGTGTGTGCTGCCAGTCGAGAGGTCCCACGGTCCTGACAGCATACCTCAAAGGGTCCGCCGATCGGTTCGCTCAATTAGCGTGGTGATTTGCGGTGGCCGCCGCGGTCTCTTCCAGGAAGATGCTTTCTTTGTTGTCCTCTCTGGAACTGTTTACGATGTCATGGCGACACGACGTCTCATCCTCCGGCTAGCAGGGACAAGCAGGGACAATGCCTGGCGGGCATAGGCAGCCGGCCGGTCGGCTACTTGATTGAGGATTAAAAGGAGCTTCGCTCTCCTGTGAGCTCTGGCGCCGGCCACAACAGCTTCCCCGTCGCCAGATGAATCACCGAGGTCATCAGGCACCGCTGCTGCTTGAAGAAACGACGAAAGGGTCCGCATTTGAAAGTCGGGAACTCGCCTTTGCTTGCCGCATTGTCTGGGTAATTACTCAAATCTTCGACAGCGTGAGAGCCTCCCCAGTAGACCGGCTTACGCACAATGACGTCTGCCCAGACGAATTTCCAGGCCAAACTTGACAGTTTGTGAACGCGTGGGACGTGAAGGCTGTGCCACGATCAGTGATGAGCAAGCGTGGTGTGCCGTGTCGAAAAGTAAGGGACGACCCTGACTTCGGTCCACTTCGTGAGATAGTCTATCGCAATGATGAGGAACTTGTTGCCGCACGACGTATGTGGAAACGGTCCCATATGATCAAGTCCCAGAATCTCAAAAGGTGTTTTAGGAGGAGGGATGGGTTGCATAGGGACCGGTTGCAAATTTGTGGGAGCCTTCCGTGCTTGACAGACTGTGCACAACAAAACGTAGCGGGAAATGTCACTATGCATGCGTCGCCACCAAAACCTCTCTTTGATGCGTGCCAGCGTCTTGTGCAGCCCGAGGTGAACATGAATAGCACCGTCGTGGAACATGAATAGCACCGATTGTCGCATGGCTATCGGCACAACAGGCACGCACGACCCATCCCGATAATTTCGGTGATAAAGAATTCCCTCTCGGACAACATACAACGCAGGAAGACTTTTTCACGACGGTGCTTGGGAGTGCGTACTTCCCCGGATAGTCGTCGGGTTGTATCAACATTTTCTGCGTCTTGTAGCTGTGTAGTTCGTAAATCAAGCACTGCAGAGACTTCGAGGTGTTTCTGAAAGCTGTCGGGTGGCGAGAAAGGTAGTCAGCGTCCTGATGGCGAGCCCCGCTACCGTGGACAATGGAAAAGTTGTAATCTTGCAGTTTGAGAGCCCACCTGGGAAACTTAGCATTGAGGTCTTGTTTTGTTTGAAGCCAGCGAAGGGCGACGTTGTCGGTAACGACCGTGAAGCTTTTACCATAAACGTATGAACAAAATTTTTCGAGTGCCCAAACTACCGCCAAGCACTCAAGTTCAGAGGCGTGGTATCGGCTCTCTGGTTCACTCAGCCGGCGGCTAGAATAAGCGACCGGTTTCTCCTGCCAGTCCTCGTTAACTTGCAAGAGAACAGCTCTGAGGCCAAGACCACTGGCATCGATGTGTAGAATCGTCGCGGCATTCTCGTCATAGTGTGCGAGAGTTGGTGGTGCTTGAAGGGCAGTCTTGAGGTCGCGGAAGGCAGCTTCTTGGTCGGGTCCTCATTTCCAGCGAGCTTCTTTCTTCAGTAGTTCGTTGAGAGGTACTGCGCGAGAAGCAAAGTCAGGGACAAAGAGTCTGAAATATGAAGCGAAGCCCAAGAAATTTTAAGCGGCTTAGCCGTGGTGGGAGGTGAAATACAGGCAATGGCTTGGACCTTTGTGGGATCAGAGCTGATGACTTTGGCACTGACTACGTGCCCCAAGTAACTAACTTCCGAAAAGCCGAAAAACCACTTGGAAGGTTTAATGCAAAGGTGAGCGTCTTGGAGAGCACGCAAGACCATTTCCAAATGCCTGAGGTATTCGGGAAATGTGGGAGCGTAGACAACATAGACAATTATGTCGTCTAAATAGACCAAAGCCATCGACCACTTGAGATGCCCAAAAACCCAGTCCATTAATCGCTGAAATGTAGCAGGAGCGTTGGAGAGACCAAATGGCAGGCAGTTAAAGTGGTATAGGCCATTCTGAGTTATAAAAGCGGTCTTCTCAGCGTCATTCGGGTCTAGTTCCACCTGCCAATAGCCAGAAAGAAGATCCAGCGTAGTGAAAAAACGGGCACCGTGCAGGCGGTCAAGGGCATCGTCAAGACGAGGAAGCGGATACACGTCAGGCTTGGTGACCCTATTTAGCCGTCGATAGTCAACACAGAAACGGATTTGCCATCTTTCTTTCTCACAATAACTACGGGGGACGGCCACGTACTTGACGAGCGCGATATGATACCACGCTTAAGCATGTCATCCACTTGCTTAGCGGTTTCTGCGCGTTCAGAGGCAAAGACTCCACACGGGTGATGCCGAACAGGAACTTCAGAGCCAGTGTCGATACTGTGCTGCACCAAAGGAGTGTGGCCAAGCTCACTGGGTGACATCGCCACGCAGTCACGGAATTTTCGTAGAAGTGCTTGAATCTCAGCTTCCTGTGATGGAGTCAAGTTGGGGCCGAAGTTGAATTCATTCCAGTCTAAGGGCGATCCAGTTGGTGATGAAGGTGCTACGGTCTGTACTACTGCTACGACAGACGGTGCTTCGAGGTAGGTACAGGTACCGAGGACGGTGCCTAACGGCACGCACAGGATACTGTCAGACAGGTTGAAGAGAAGCACTGCAAAGGTTTTGCCGGAACAGCGATGGAGGGCCCGCGACATTGCGAATTCGCCTCCAGGTCGGGAACAAACGGTACTTTCTACAAGAATGTCCTTGTCAACAAAGGATTTGTCGGGGCTGTAAACAGGAACTCACGCAGCAGACGACAAGGCGATGGTAACTGAAGTAGCCGTTATCACAGGATTGAGAAGCAGGGATGGTTTTTCAATTTCAAGTTGTTCAGTTTCGTTAGTACGCCCGGCCGTATTCCTGCCCGTTGTTAGAATGCCGACTTTCAAAGAAAATTTAATAATCAAACTTTTTATCATGCGGTAGTTGTCAGCGAGCACGGAGCGCGCTTTGTCAAATGTTCAGTAAATGACATGACTCAACGGGAAATACGACTGCCTAGAGCAAGCTTTACTGGAGATTTCAACACTTGCTCAAATCGGTATCGAAGCGGTAGATGTCAGTTCCATGGTGCAATCAGTGCCGTTAAACTGCAAACTAATGCCAAACTCTGCGCACCAATCAGCCTAAAATCACTGGCACACACAGGTTTGGCACAACAAGGAACCGCAGTCTCACTGTCTTCCCGAGCGCACACACATTCAGGCAGACGTCGCTGAGAGTAGGTAGAGTGCCGCCGTCAGCTAGGACAAGATGGGGTCGATCGGCCTGCTCAGGGCTCACCGAAAATCTTCCAGACAAGAAACTCGCCGCTAAAAGACTGAGTGCAGCCCCTGTGTCCACTAGTGCTTCAACGTGCTGCGGCGGATTTCCAAGCTTCACCGGCAGACTTGGCATCTCGTTGAAGGGGCCAAGTGAAAAAAGAGGGGCTTCAGCCATTATGCGGGGTCCTGCCCTCGATGGCCCGCATTGCAGTTTCCGTAGGAAGGCTGCATAGGAGGAGCTGAGTTTGTCAGCGGCTCGGTCACCCGAGGGCAGTTCTGAGCAAAATGCCCAACACTGTGGCAGTGGTAGCACCGGAGTACCGCTGTAGGATCATGGAGTCGAGTAGGAGCCCAAAGCCCGGTCCGGGATGGTGTGTCCGTGTAGGGTGGCCTCCGGTATGGATCCCCAGCTGCTTGCGAGCGTTCGTGTATCTCCGCTTCAAGAGCGACAGCTAAAGCTGATCGTAGGTCAATCGGATGAGCGAGGCGGACGAAGAGCTGGACACTTCTGTTATTGATGGCATCAACGAAGGCATTAGCACCAATGAAGTCCATGGTTGCGGAAGGGCAACCCGACAAGGCCTTCCGGTACAAGCTGTCGACGCGAGCAGCGAGTTCTTGAAGGTCGCAGTGACCTTGCCGGTCGTGCTTCATTTGTGTGAGGTAGAGCTGAAGCAGACGACTGTCGCCAAATTTGGTTTCCAGCGCCGAGACCAGAGCTTCATATTTCAAGCGGACGACTTGTGGGATGTACTCGACGTATTCAACCGCAGAGCCACAAAGCTGCACAACGAGCGCCTGAGCTTTATTTTGAACTGTCCAGTCGTTTTAAGGCAGCAAGGGACCCGAACTGTCCCAAAAAATGCTGCCCACGACGTGGTGCCATCGAAGATAGGCAGTGTAAGTTGTGCTCTGAAAAACCGAGGCTGAGCTGACAGAGGAACATTTCGTTCGACCGCGGTAGACACACGTTGGTGAAGGCCAGACTGCGCTCAATGACAGAGAGCCGCGCAGCTAGGTCGGCAACGACGTCCGCCATCGGGGCACGTTGGGCGAGGGTGGCCTCATGAGAGAGAGTAAGCGGGTTGTGAAGTGAGTTTTGAAATCTTGCATAAGGGCTCGTCTGTCGGCCTCAACATGTAAACCAAGGGCTTGCAGGCAGTCAGGTATAGGTAGAATGGCACTAGCGCTTGACTGTTGAAGGTGATTCGGCGTATCCTGGACATCAAACTCTGACAGAAGAGGCTGATGGGGCACTGGTGGCGGGATGTGTGATGAGACTGGGCCTCCCGTGGCCTGTGCCAAGCTTTCCTGCGTAGTCGGAACAGAAGATTGCAGGGCCGTCAACGACGTGCCTTCCGAAGGGTGCATCTGTGGAGTGCCGACTGTTGCTGTCATCGCGGCAGCCTTACTCATTGTAAACATGGGTTAACGTTCTCACCACTGCCACCAAATGTAACGTACAAGAGCCACTCACTCGAACACAACACTGTCTTCATCGTTCTCTTTTCCAGTCTTTCCCTCACGCGTTGGTCACCCCGTGGTTATGATGCACTACAATATTGGTATTGAGTCTTTGTCAGCTGCCTAATTACAGAGAGTCCAAACCAATCACCATTGGCATCCAAAATTAGTACTATGGCAAAACTTTTATTAGTATTATTGACCTATAAAATATAAGTAGGAAAATACATAGGACAAATGATCAAAATAGATTGCAGCGAATTAAAATAATGATGCCACCTTGAAAACTGGAAACTTGCCTAACATATAGAGATTTAATGCGGCATCAATCGTAAAGTGAATGTTTCTAGACAAACCATCCAGAATGGGCGGCCCACGGATGCTGGTGCTGTCATAACACACTACTAAGAAAATGAAATTGTGTGGCTTTAAACGGAAGCTATCTAGGCATACTAAAGAATGAATCGAAAGTTTGATGTTGACAGGTGAAAAACACTAGGAGTTTACGCTTCAATTAAATTGTGCTGCTGTGAATTAGAAGAAAACAACTGGGAATTCCAGGGTGTCAAAAATGTGTACAATAATGACTGTGCACTTTTTTTTTTTTTACAGTTCAGGGCTTAATATCTCCATTTGCATGGGGCCAAGCCCTCTTACAAGTAAACTCATTGGTTGATATGTGGGGTTTAACGTCCCAAAACCACCATATGATTATGAGAGACGCCGTAGTGGAGGGCTCCGGAAATTTCGACCACCTGGGGTTCTTTAACGTGCACCCAAATCTGAGTACACGGGCCTACAACATTTCCGCCTCCATCGGAAATGCAGCCGCCGCAGCCGGGATTCGAACCCGCGACCTGCGGGTCAGCAGCCGAGTACCTTAGCCACTAGACCACCGCGGCGGGGCTCTTACAAGTAAACTCCAAACTCTTGAAATTTTACTGCGTCACAATTATGACCAGTGCCACGCACTACTCGTCAATGTTGAAAATAGACAGCTACAACGCAAAATAAAGTTTATTCATACCATACGTACGCCGTAACTACGGCTAGTCGTTTACCTAAGCTACGACTTGAAACTCGTGAGGATCAGTAGCCTTTTTTTCCTCTGAACCTCTGTCTGTTGTCAAGCTGGAACGAAGAAGAAAATAAAAACAAAAGCATAGTTAAGTCGCAAGGTTTCTCACTGTGATTTATACTGCTTAAAGAAAAAAAAAGCGAAGCTCACCATTGAACGCTTGCATTCGAAGAAGAGTTGTTTCAAATTGTGACACTCCACTGGAATGGAGGGATGGTCGGCGCGCAAGCATTCTTTCGGCGTCAGTCTTTCCTGTCGAAATGAAATAAAGAAACAGCAATACACTACGAGACTCGAAAGACAGGTCTTCCACCAAATACGAAAACTGGAGAAATCTACGACCAAGCATAAACCAACGTGAACTTACCTTTCGGACACAGTCTGTGGCTAGTAAGCAGCGCTTCAGATCATCCCTGACTCCTTCGCAAGCTTTGTGCGGTGCTAATGCACTGTCTTCCTCCGTATATATTGGCATTTTCTTTGCATTCGTGCCTTAGTTCGTTACATCCACTACCCGGGAATACACTTGTCGCGTCGACTGTTAACCACAGAGTTTCTCACGAGAAACACTAGGCTGCTAACATCCAAACATCCTCCGTGCGTGCTCAATGTGCGCTCCGTGCGTCCAAAACATGATCCAAAACTTGCAGGCGGCTACAGTGTACTAGAATAGAGGTAGTACACTGTAAGGCGGCTCATGATGCGGCTGTGGCTCTGTATGGCTGATAATGGCTTTGTGGCGGTTTTCAATCCGACTATCGATCCGAAGCCAGTTTTCTCTGTCGTCTTGTGGCTCTTGTCCATGGAGGAAAGAAACATGTGGTCCCTTCGCGACGTTGGTCCGAGTGCCTTATGTTTAGGTGTTCTGCGAAGAACATCGGTGTCAAATTTGTAACGTGCACAGAGTGGCAGACTCGGTAGTATTCCTAAGGCTTAGTAGCAAGGCTTGCAATGGCTAGTAATAAGGGAAAGCAACCTTCTACGAGCAATGAAACCATCTTCGTGTGTTGCTTCGATGGCTGTTCTGCAACTTTTCCGAACGGGAAGAAACTCAAATGGCACATGCGCGTGCACGATGGAGAAGTGAGTTCACGTTGTGTTTAGTGTTTGTGCAAGCTTGCCTTATAATTGTTTCCCTGAGTGTCAAATGTCGCCTTCCTGAATAGCACACGCGATATGTCTTTACATTACATGACTTCATCAGAACAGGTTACTGTGAATTGATATATGTGCGATCATTTGACACACACAAAACGTTTGCAGCCTGCAATTAAAGCAGTCGTGCCACCTGTTAAAAAGATACAAAGAAATCCGGCAAGATACAGATAGCTTGTTTTTGCGTGATCTTAGTAAGCAGTTGAATGTTTCAGAGTGAACCCACGCACAAATTTCTTGCTTTAATTTCAGTAGTTATATGAAAAGTTGTAATCTTTTATTTTTAACGCAAAATATGAACCCTTTGGTTACGTGCAAGGTCAGACGATGTAAAAAAAAAAAAAGGTTTCGCTTTGTGTTTAGGTGTGTTTGTGATGGCTAAGCTAGTCTAGTGTGTATGAACACTAACATATGGGGCTTGAATGTTCATCTGTGAGAAGTATAACTGTCATAAGTCTGTTACATTATTTGGCTTAAAAGAACTTGTTAACTTCGTCTGAAGCTGGCACAAACCCAATGAAGGGGGGATTTGTCGCGTAGAAAGTGAAATTTTCTGACACTTTCTGCATTGCTTCATTCATACGAATGCTATCTGATTAATTATGATTTGAAGTACCAATTGCCAGTTTGAAAATATGTACTGCACACACAATTTAGCTAGAGAATCGTTTAGTCGCAGTGATATATTCCTGAACAGCGAATAAAACATCCCTGTGGTTTTTTTTTTCCTTCTTCTTTTGGCTGTATCATTTAGCGGCCTTTTGAGTGCACATACACCGGCTGCAACAAGAAGTACACAAGGCAGTTTCACCTGACACGACACATCAAGAAATCACATGAAAGCATCAAGGACCAAGTAAAATCGTTCAAGTGAGTGTACAATCCACATCTTCCTGTTTAAAAAAAAAGAGTCGTAATAATTAGTATTTTCTGCACAGATGTGTACATGACAACTGCGACAAGTTGTTCACATGTGAAAACGCATTGTACAAGCACATGAAGTATTCCCACGAGAAGCGGAAGTTTCAGGCAAGTATTCTAGAGAAAACTTTTAGTCGCTATTTCATCACACCTTGCGTGATCTGTTTGGATGCTACTGCGAAATCTCTCGTAATCCTCTCTCTTTCTTCCCATTCTTCTTTTCTATTAGTGTGAACACTGTCCAAAGGCATTCATTAAACATCAGCACCTCAGAGTGCACAGCTTTGAACACACCAAGGTGTTGCCCTATCCGTGAGTATCAAATCTCTTTTTGCCGCCATACAACTTTTCCTTCAAGCATGCTTTAGGGACTCGAATTTGTCTGGAGAGCTGATTATTAATGTAAGAGTCATCATCATCATCAGCTTGACTACGTCTGCTGCAGGGCCCAGGCCTCTCCCACGATCCGCCAATCAACCTGTTCTCGTGCTTTTGCTGCTTCGTTATACCTGCAAACTTTTTATTCTCATCGGCCCACCTAACTTTCTGTCTCCCCATCCTGTGTTTGCCATCTCTGGGAATCCACTCAGTGGCTCCTAATAACCAACAGTTATCCTGCCTATGTGATACTCTGTGCCCAGTCCATGTCCATTTCTTCTTGATTTCAACTATGATGATATCCTTAACCACGGTTTGTTCCCTGACCCACTCTGCTCTCTTCTTGTCTCTTAAGGCTAGACCTATCGTCTTCCTTTCCATCGCTCGCTGCGTCGTCCTCAATTTAAGCTGAACCCTTTTTTTAGTCCTCCAGGTTTCTACTCGTAGGTAAGTACCGGCAAAATGCAGCTTTTATATACCTTCCTCTTGAGGGTTGTGGCAGGTTACCATTCATGATTTGAGAAAGCTTGCAGAATGTGATCCACCCCATCTTTATTCTAGTTATTTCACTCTTATGGTTCGGCTCCACACTTACTACCTGTCCCAAGTAGACATATTCCTTTATAACTTCCAGTGTCTCTCTGGCTATCGCAAAGTGCTGTTTTCTGCGGAAACTGTTGCACATTACTTTAGCTTTGTGCACATTAATTTTCAGACCTGCTTTTCTGCTTTCTGTGTCCAGTTCAGTAATCATGAGCTGTAATTCTTCCCCTGAGTTATTCATCAAAGCAATATCATCAACGAATCGCAAGTCACTAAGATACTCTCCAATAATTCTTATCCCCAACTCTTCCCAATCTAGGGCCCTGAAAACCTACTGTAAACACGCGGTGAATAGAATTAGAGAGATCGTGTCTCCCTGCCTTACACCCTTCTTTATTGGGAGTCTGTCGCTTTCTTTATGGAGAACTATGGTGGCTGTGGATCCACTGTAGACTTCTTCCAGTACGTTTATGTAGGGTTCTGCGATGCCCTGATTCCGTAGTGCTTGCATTACTGCTGATGTCTCGACTGAATCAAACGTACAGGGGCTGGTTGTAGTCTATGTATAGGGGCTGGTTGTATTCCGTGAATTTATTACCTGATTGATAGCATGAATATGGTCAATTGTGGAGTATAGCCTGAATTAAATACTGCTTGGTCCTTTGGTTAATTGAACTCTAATGTCGCTTTAATTCTATTAGCTATTCTTTTTGTACATAGTTTATAGAGAACGGACAGTAAGCTTTTAGTCCTGTAATTTTTCAAGTCCTTGACGTCTCTTTTCTTATGGATTAAGATGATGCTGGCGTTCTTACAAGATTCTGGTACCCTTCGTGTCAAGAGACACTTCGTGTATAAGGTGGCCACTTTTTATTATTTTTTATTTCTTTCTCGCTCTAGTCTCCTTTTACTTCTATTAGCTATTACTTTTGTAAATAGCAGCCACAGCTCATAAGTTGTTAGGAACATTATCTCTCGGCTGAAATAAAAGTATTGTTACCTGACGTGTAATATGGTGATTTATATTTCCAGATGCCCAGAACCAGGATGTGACAAGGCTTTCTTGCTGCCAAGCAAGCTCAGAGCACACCAGAACACACATAAAGGTGACTAGCGAGCTGTGCAACTCGTCACCGCGCTGAACGCCTCTATTACACTTTGAAACATCACAGTTTTTTGTTGTTGTTGTTGTTCAATGCTGATTCCATGCTCATTTGTTGAAGCTTGCTTAGTTGCTGAAGCATTCAATTCACTAAACTTTTAAGCAGATGTGTTATTATTCTGCATATTTGTACAGGGTAACAAAAATGCAACACACGAGCTTCATTATATTCCAGCATATTGCAGCAAAGCACTCAAGTGGCATTTTAATATAAGAAAACCGCTTTTTTTCATGTTCTTAAAAGCTATAAGAGGTCGTATATAAATATAAAGGGACTGTGTATATATAAAGAAACCTGTGTAATATTCTTCTCCTGGTACTATAAATAAATGAAGAAAAAGACTCAGTATTCAGGAAACCTTCAAGGCGACCTTTTGGTTAAGATCAAGAAAGGTCCTGCTAAATTATGAAGCAGACATATTGCATGCAGCTCTAGCTTAGAATAATGTATTCATTAGTTGATGGCTTGAAGTCTTTTATGGATGTTTGGCATTTATTTTGCAACCTTCCCAGAAACATACGCTACTTGTGCACTTACATTGCCTTATAGCAGTCCACATTGCAGAACTAATCGATGTAACCCATCGTCTTTTATGAACTGAAACGCACGATCATGTCACCTGCTCTCTGCGATGGCTGCCTACAACGCTATGAACGGACAGCTAAAAAAAGCACGTCCGCTTTTTTGGGGGGAGAGCAAGGAGGCGTCATCTATGGGCAAACAGAATGAGTCATGCTGACAAACAAGTGCTGCCAGAATACGCTCCCTCCTCACTCATGCAATGGGCGACGCCTGCAGCACGTCTTCCCCGACTAATAGGTCGAGTGTGGTGTGCAAGCATGGTCGAAATGTTCTGTCATACACCTTCAAAAAAGTACGCCACAAACTAATCTTTACCTGAGTGCATCGCTCTTGCCTGTACACTCAAACCTCAATTTAATAAACATGAATTTAACGAAATATTAGTTATACTGAAGTAAATGAAAAATAGTCTTGCATTAGATACAGTGTTCGGAATGACCTTTATGACGAATTTTCAGAGATAACAAACTTATTTTGTTGTAAGATGCAACACTCTTACAATGAGGTATGGGTGAATAACTCAAATTCAGTTGAAACCCAACTGGCATAAGCCAAAAAATGGAGCTTCTATAGGCAGAGCGTCTCTGCATACAAAGGCTGTTCCAAATCTAGATAGCATGGTAGACAGTTTACGCTGACAGCTTAGAAGACAGGATCGAAGCCCTGTTGTCTCAAAAAACGGAACGCGTCTACGCGACAAAATGCCACTGCACATCGAGAGGAGCAAGCAAAGATAAACAAACATAACTGTTTTTTTAGTTTACTTCATGTTCAAATCCAATAAAACTTGAACATTACTGACATTCAATGCCTGAAAAATCATCTGCTTGTGTGCAGACGATAATTCTAGGAAGATTCGAGCTATTTGAGCAATTCACTGAGCCACTATCGTGTTTGGACAGCTAAGTATCCTGCATCATTTTTGTCTACGATGCCTTCTTATCAAAGCTGTCGATTTTGCCAGCTATGTGAGAATTGGAATGGGACTCAAGATGGCCACCGTCCACTTAGCTGTCTATTCAGCGGTCTATAATGAGTATTGGAACACACCCAAAGACGAAATAAGTTTAGATGAAAATATTAGAGCTTGTCAGATTGCCACCATGATGCTAACATGGGAACTCTTGAGGTACATTTATTGCCACCAGGTGGGAAAATAGTCGTTTCTGCAGGAAGCCAATAGATTATTGCTGGTAAGAGAAAGACCGCTCATTCCATCAATATTGCTGCTTTACCACTAGGTACCGCGAGCGACAATATGTTGGAAGTTATTATATGTCCACTGTACCCCTTTGAGATGTGCAGGTGACTTGCAACAAATTCATGAAATTTATATCATTTTGATGCTAGGGGTTCAGAATGATAAATTTAAAGCTTGTGGAAATTATATAATAAACTGTAGTGTATTTTAGAGCAATTATTATAATTACAATGTCAGCAGTTATCTAATTATTGTACAGTCAGTCATTCTATATATCTTCATAAACTTAATCAAACAAACCTCTAAATTACATGTGATAGTTGTCCGCTGGCAGCGAGCGTTCTTAAAAAGGTATATAAAGAAGATTAAAACAAAAAATTTCTGCCAAAACACAGTGAGTGCTACATCTCATCAAGTACTGTACCGCTTTCACCAAAGCATATGCATGTAGCCAAATACTTCACCAGAAGTGATATAAATGAACTTAGGCAACAAGAGTAATTTTTTTATCATTAACTCACTGTTTGTGGTCTCTTCCTCATCATGGCGCATAAATGTTACAAGTAAGTTGCGTTTCTAAAGTGAGCCTGCTGTATCGCAAACAGTTACCCTTTAAAAAGTCCAGTGCTAAGCAAGCACTTTTACTGCATTTTAAATAACTATGATAAGCTAACTGAATACTTCTGAAAATTCAAATCTTATTTTAGGTTACCCATGTGATGTGGAAGGCTGTGAAGCTGTGTTCACCAAGTGGACTCTTCTACAGAAACACAGAAAAACGGATCACCAGAAGCGTAAGCTTTTCGGAATGTGTGCTCCAAAACCTTGCCCATATTGTGATGTTTTCGTGTGGTACATAACGAGGAGATCAACATGCTTGTTGATAGCCACAAAGATGTGAAAGATTGCAACGCTTTTTTTTTTGTAGTTTGTAATGTCGATACTGCTCAACTTGGGGGATGTATAGCCAAATTAAATTCTTTGCTATGCCATTTTCTGGTCATAATCTTGAGCGATGGACAGTGCATATTTGACGCAGAGCACAGAAAGAACACTGATGCACTGGACAAGCGCTTGTTCTGTGGGTCCGTTTCCTTTCTCTATTCCGAGTCATATTCGCACTATCTGGTATATAAGACTGGGAGGATGTGTTCAGGCTGTAACAACTGAAATCGTGAGTGTGGACACGGATTGGTGGTTCTCACAAGAAAAGCAAATTCAGAGAGCATATATGACTGTGCCAGAGCACATGGTATGAGGAAGGCAGGCAGAACAAGAAAACTGCATAAAGATTGATTTTTCTGTAATATTGATCCTGTTCTGTTACTTCAGGAAGCTTTACCAGGAGATTACAATGAAAATATCCAGGCATGGTGAAAGGGCTCCTTAATTAGGAAAGTCCAGAGAGTTCTTAATGTTTTGCGAGTCTGCTGAAAGTAATACAAAACATTTTATCGAGGCCTTCACAAATCTTTGTTTTGTGTGGAATCACACTTACAGAAAGCATTAGAAGGAATGAATTGCATCAACGTAAAACTAAGCAATGCTCATGCTTTCTTTTCCATTGTCTTCAATTAGTGACACCTTTATTTTGTTCTTCCTTTGTTTGCAACAACTTTGGCTTAATATTGGCTTGTACACTTATATCACAGCTGATATCACCTTTCATATCCAGATTTGAAGTGACATGAAAAAATTGTCTCGAGCAGTTGCAAGTACCAGTTGTTATACTTAATGTTTAGTGTGATGTTTCATTTTGTGAGCGCTGTGCAGTTTCACTTCTGTTTGTGAGAGCCAGGGTGCAAAGTCACAATTGCAGACACTGTGGTACTATGTCAAGCTTTGGGAAGTAAGATTATTTTTTTCCTACTTCATCATTGTGGGAGAGGCTCGGTGGTTGGCCATGACTGGCTAGTTGTTAATGTTTTTGATGACATGTTCATTATCATGAGTTGTATTACTGAGCTGCCACTTTTATTGAGTGAGACACTCTTGTTGTGCACACTCATTGCAAAGTTTGGAGACTGATGGTGATGCAAAAAATACAAAAATATGTTGACATGTATTCAAGATGCAAGTAATTCAAGTCAAATTCAATCAAAGCTGTGCTACAACCTATATGTACTGTTGGCCACAGAGGTTAATGGGATCTTCCGCATGTAGTTGAATTTACCACGCATATTAGATGCACCACCCAACTTTGCTTCAATATTTGGGGAAATACTAAGTGTGTTCATTATGAGAGTACATACAGTACATATAACTTTATTTGTGGGCATAGGAAGCTAATCTGTACCTTTGTGCATGCAGACTTTCCGTGTCCTACTTGTGACCGGGTGTTTTTCACCAAGTGGAACCTGGTCACTCACATGGAAACACACAGCACCGACCGCGAGAGCTTCTGTTGCCCTCATGAGGGCTGCAGCCGTTTCTACTTCCAGGAGAAGAATCTCCGGCAACACATTTCAAGTGCCCACGAAAACAAGCGATTCTCCTGCAATGCTCCAGGTTGTACACGGAGCTTTTTCACCAAGGTGACCCAGTTTTGATCATTTCTGGCGCATGGATACTTCTTGAACATGGTCGTTCGTCTTTATCTAGCTTCATGGCTATGACTTTATTGTGCTGGAGCGCAAGTTCAGTGACAGCATTTATGTGACAATCGGTCAAGTGAAGGCTCATGCACAAGGTCAACGTCAACTAAGGAACACCTCATTAGTAGTGTAAAGGGTAGAGAAGTTGATGGCAGGAACGGCGGGCTCTCTTTAGGGTAGCTGGCACCCCGCCGTCGTCCGCATTGCCGATCTTCGCCAGTGAGGAGACGCGTTAAGAGAGGTAGAACAAAAGATTTATTTATATTATTGAAGAAGGAAAGGAACTGTACAGGGATCCAGAAGATCCCGCAATATGTACAACAGAGGTTCAGCTCATGATTTCGTACAAGATTCCGCTCAAAATTCAGTTCACATGATTCAGCTTCATTTACATAAATGCTTCGGCTTTTATAGCCCATCGTCACCGCTGTCTGAATGAGGCGCTGATCATTCTTGCCACACAGCAGGGGACGAAGTCTTAGTGGTCCACCCACCAGAAAGGGTGCAGATATTGCACCACTCGGCTGGGCGAAATGGTCCAATGGTAACAGGAACGCACCACACAAACAGGCACCTGGCCCACGCCTTGAAGCCACTGCAGGGCGAGGAGGTAGAGTCCGGAGAGGGAAAGTTGCGCTCCTCCGGGAAAATGGCCGCTAACTCGACGGTCAACAACGGTCCACGCTACTTTCAGCTTCAGGCAGTCCCAACGCTCGAGTGCGGTGAACGGCTTCTTCGACGCGTTCCCACGCTTCCGGGCTATCGATCCGCTGAGATGGCCTTGCGTAGATGACAAAAGCAGAGTCTTAAGGAGGCCCGCCACAGTGGCACCGTTCCCCCACAGTACCAGCCTGTTCATTAAAAGGCTTGCCTCGCGAAGCTTTCATTGAGACTCAACTGCTTCCCGGAATGTCTACCGGACAGCGTCTTGCAGAATGGGCGCCGATGGGGTTGAAAGCCTTCCCGGTATACCGGCTTATGCACAATGGCGTCTACCCAGACGAATTGCCGGGCCAAACATAACAGTAGGGAGAAAGATTTTAGACAAATTATTATTTTATTCCTTGCATTCCTATTGCCCCATTTTGATATACGGTCTACTCCCGTTACGACAGATCGTGATGTGGGAAAACAATGCCGCATTATCTGAAGTCCATAATATCCAAACTCTGTGAGAGGGTGCATCGTTGTATGACGATCATTTCGATTTCGCGCAGCAGTATGAGGCAGGCTAGTTCTGCTGATACATGCTAAATGTAATCGACAGCATGGTTACGACAGTCTTCTGTCAACAACAGCAGTTATTAACAATATTGCTGTGCAAGTTCTAATTAATGAGCAACTGCCATCACAGTCGGTGCAGGCCTTCGGACAGCATGAAATCTTAGCCCAATAATAAAAGGTTTCTAGCAGGCTTTTTCAGCCTCTTCCGTTGATTGGCTTGGAATAAATTATTTCTTATTTGAGAGGACAGGAGCAACAGTTATTTGAGAGGACGGGAGCCGTTGCTTTCTTTCACGCAGCCTCTACTGCTCTCTGAACCATACAAAGTTGGTCTGAGAGTTCTGAATGTAACAGATCAAGACACCTCTTGCAATAATAGTCTAATTTGACTGGCGAACTGGTGCTGCTTTGAGCACCAGAACATCTTACAAAACTTTGGTCACAATGCCTAACATTACTCCAATGAGCAACCAGCATGTGGTGCAAAACGCCCGCCGCTGTAGTCTACTGGCTAAGGTGCTCAGCTGCTGACGCGCAATTCGCGGGATGGAATCCCGGCTGCGGCGGCTTCATTTTCGATGGAGATGAAAATGCTGTAGGCCCATGAGCTCAGATTTGGGTGCACGTTGAAGAACCCCAGGTGGTTGGAATTTTTGGAGCCCTCCACTACGGCGTCTCTCATAATCGTATGCTGATTTTGGGACGTTAAACCCCACATATCAATCAATCAATCAAATCTGTTGCAAAACAAACAATAACTTCTTGTTTACGCTTAGCTCAAAAATAAATTTGTGGTAAGAGGTTGCCAAGCACCCTTGAGATGTGATGAAATCACTTTGGGGTGCATTTCAGTCTGCTGCAACACTTGAACCACGTGTACCCGTGGCTTGACAATGGGCTCTTAGAGTGGCTCGGCTGAAGGCTTGGCTTGCCATAAGCCACCAATGCTGCCAGCTGAAATTTAAAATTCCCACGGCTTTAGCGTGCAGAGCGTTGCCTAGTTAAAAAATGTTTATTGTCAGCCTGTATCAACAGAGTAAGAGTATGCTTTATGCGCCCAATTTTTAAAAAAAATGTGCTGCTAATTTCATCCAATGACCCCTGCAGTTCATTGTGGTTGGTTAAAAATCAAACTTGGCTTTGTTCATCTATAAGACATACCACACTTAGGCTGAATAATGCTCCGTTTTACCTGAAAGTCTGTTGTACGCGTATCCATTATAATGAGTGTGGACTGGGTGGGCACATATTGGAGGTTAAGCAGGGCTTTTATAATGTTCTTATAGTGTTCTTATACGTAGTGACTATGAATAACTGCCTGTATGCAAAATGAGCACTTTTATGAAGACTATTTAACATCAGTTTGCCTTTGAGTGCAGTTTGAGACCATTATTTGTATTACCAAGCAACATTGACTCTTCAGAACTCTACTATTTGGTTCAATCTAGTACTCTGGTTCAACCAACTCCTGGACAACAACCATTAGCAGTGGTGACACGGTTTGTGCCGCCCATCATACACCGCCATGCTGACATGGCCGAGTGGTTGTCATATGCAGGGCAGCGATGAGCCATCAGGGGAAAGAATAGTGGAGTGGAAAAGGACGAAAAATCTGATGTTCACGCAGTTTTTGTTTTGTTTGTAATTTACTGTAAGGGTTCACTGATGAAATAACTTGACCCTATGCGATTAGACGCGACCAATGCGAGGCATTTCTCCCTTTTGGTTTCTTATTCGTCTGGCTATCAGCTCCTGTGCTCAGTCATGCCAAAAAGAAATCCAGAGTGCATTGATTCAATAGTGGACACGTCACTGGCCATGCTACAGAATAAATGGAGAGGTTGTATCCTGCGAACCATGCGGGAAAAAGGCCTCCTGCATAGCTATATTAATGCAATAGCGTTGAAGTGCTCATTTTGCAGAAATCAGGGTTGTTGGTTGTGAGCTGAAAATCAGTGCTGTCCGTGTGTGAATAAAAATTCGAAACATATGCGAATTAAACAATTTTGAAATCTTCTGCGCTTGGCAAGCGTCACAAGTGCTCAATATGGCTTCGGAAAGAACACTATATGAAGTTTTCTTAGTGTGACAAGCCACATTAACAAACGTAATAGTGGGTGACAAGTTTAAGATCACATGTCAAAACATGTGAAATGCACAAGCGATTGGTTTCAAGGCCCACCAGTCACAAAGCATGCAGTCAAAATTAATTATTATCAACAACAGCATTAACAATGTGTGCATAGGTGCGCATATTGCTTTAAGGGCGTGTACTAGGTACCTCACCAACTTGCAAAAAAAAAAAATTATACTGTAGTGGGCACTCTGCAACTGTACTTGCAGTAAGCAGTCTAGGATTGTTTAAAAAGGCTTAGGTTACACACAGAGACATTCCTTTCCTGCTGGCATGACTTGTGTAACCTTCCAGAAGTGGTCTACCAAGAAGTGGTCCACCAAGAAGTGATAGAGCAGGGTTCAATTGTGCTATTGCATTCTATTCTTGAAGACGAGTTTCAAGCATTTCTTTTTTTTTTTATCACTGCTGGCACCTTTTTTCCATCATGAAAACATTTCTTGCTTTTCTGTCATATATACAAGTCGTGCACGTCCATGTTTCCAAATTATTTGTATTTATGTGAAAATTATTTGTGTCTGCATTTACGACATTGGAGGCCTAAGACGTGCCTTGCCTGCCTGTTTTCGGTAGCTAAAATGCTGTTTTGCCTGCCTATTTCTGGCACATAAAATGCACTTTTTTAATGCCTAGAAACCCAGTCTCTGCTCTTTAGTATTCAAGCTGTTACCACTAGAATGTTTATTCTACTGCATGAGAAGTGCCCGTTATATGACGTCTAGTCATAGTGCCAATAAGCACAATTTCAGATTGTTAGTTTGATTATTGTAAGCCTCACAGGGGTCTTCAATCTTAATGAGGTGTCCATCTTAGATTTTTATAACCCTGTACTTATTTCTATGCCGCGTGAGCAATACGAATAGTACATGTACATTTACTTTACTGTGGCATACGGGTAAACTTAAAGTTTTAAGTTTTCAGTAACACTTCATTAATGACCATTCTTTATTTCTGTTGATGTTGTGCAATATGGATAGGTGTCCCTATGAAGGCGCAACTTTACCAGAAAAATCATAAACAGTATTTCAATTTGAAAAAAATGAAAGCATGAATGGCATCTTTTGTAATGGTGAGATAGGTGTTTTCTTTTTCTTTATATATGTTTTTTGTCTGCGTAACTCTATTTCTCACCACCAGATAGCATTCCAATCCACTCTACAAGTATTAACACAAGTGAACAGGTACTCCTCGGCAATGGATGTAACTAATCCTGTGGTGAAGAGTTGTTGAGAAGGAAACTAAATCGATCTTTTTGTGCATTTCTGTGGAAGCTGAATCATGCTATTGTCTTAGCTCTTCAATTGATTGAACTTCAACTTTTCTCTTTACTTTTAGACTCATTATGCACTTGTTATTGCCTCTCACTTTTGTCTATGATTACCCTATGCAATCGCTCATTTTGTTTTTATTCATGTTTACAGCAATCACTGAAGAAACACGAAGCAACCCATGACCCAAACAAACCTCTACCTCAAAAGGTATCTATGTTCCCCAGTATTTCGAGCGCACAAGGTGTGATTATAGGGTGGTGATAAAAGCAATCTGTATTACATCAGGCTAAACACTTGTGCAGGCAGTCGCCCAACAACACTGTATGGTGTCCACATTAGAATTTACTCAAAAAATGTTTGGTGCAACATCACAATAAATCATTACTCATTTTACAACTAATATGCCACAACTAGATTTACATGGTCCTGCAACCTCACATATGCAATACACACATACACAGCGAAAGAACTCGCATTATAAATGCACTCCCCATTATTGTTCTTCAAAATTTCCTTTTTCTTCCCTTTGTAATGTGTAACCATGTTCCCAGCTATGGTTCTCTGCAGTGCTGCAAACGAATGGCTGTGCTACAGTTTCGCATGTCATTTGCTCCAACTGATGAGAGTATAATGATGAAAGTAGAAAGTGCGGCAAAATTGTCCTGCAGTGCCTCTTTCTCTCATACTTTGAAAATTTTATCTGAGTCTGCCACCAATAACTCCTCATGCACGTGTTCAGTTATCAAGGTGAACACCTTAGGTGCCTCATCAAATGCAAACGGCATCCCGCTGCATCGGGCAAAGCATGAATGATGCAAAAGATTGTCTTCGCGTGATGGCGCCACCATACGACACCATCTCACAGATTGCGAAAGGCTGTGGCATCACAAATTCTGGCTGATGTCACATTACGTAATGTCACGCGGTTCTGTCATAACATGACGTTGTATGATCATAGGCAATGAGAAATCATACTGGTGCTCAAAACTTCCGGAGGGCAGTGGGGTAGAATCAATACATGGACTGAAATGATAAACAAGATGCTTTTTTTCTTTGAGTCATCGTAGGTGAATCCACAAAGAACCCTGTGAGATTTTTTTTTTTCAGTGTGTGCCACTCATAACTGATGCATGCGCGCATAAATGCAGTAGCCAAAGAATTTCGAGGCATGACAAGTGGATTTTCATACTGATCTCTCTTTCTTATTGGGTACTAAAAACTAGCCTCGAAACCTTCTTGGAGAAGAAAAGAAAGGGATAAAGATGGCCACCCATTTGTAGCATGAAGCCTTTCCTTGTGGGTTCCGAATTCTGGCGGGTTTCTACTGAACTCATCTGCATTACTTGTGTCCATGTGCTTCGAGTCCTCGATGAATTCGCCCTCGTGCTGCCAATTGCTAGCTTCCTGATTAGTTCAGTTGGTAGAGTAACTGTCCGTAAAGGCGTTCGTCCCGAGTTCGAACCCCATACCAAGACATTTTTTTCGGCATGCCCCGTAGTTATATGTTTGTTTTGGGGTGTTTAGGGCCACAAGTTACTTTTTATTGCTCTCTCAATTGCAGAAACCCAAAAAGGCCACAAGAAAATGTCGCCCAAGAAATTTTTTCACCAAGAGCGCAGCCGCTGTCTTGTCGGGGCACACACCACCTCCTGAAACCGAGAAGAAACTTCTGTCCCTATGCATCGCATCAGCTGAGGAGGTGGAGTTCACTCAAAGGCAAGAAAAGGGGGAGTGCACATCACAATCTGGAGATTCAGTACTCAGCCACAGAGTACCCTTAAGGACGTGTCAGGAGCAGTCTTTCAGCATGGGCAATGACGCCGATGATGTGTCACTTCCAGAGGATTTCACTCGGCATGCATACGAGCCTCTTGCTGACACTCTGGTGTCAGGTCTAGGGCAACCATCTGCACAAAATGACTTATCAGAAGTGATGCATGCAGTGACGGATGATCTTGAACAACACAAGTCACAATTGTCCAGCTCAGAATTGTGCCAGCACATCGAAGAATTGCAGTCGGCGACCGAGACGTGCCTTTCTTCGATGGACTCAGCTCTTGGAAGTCTTGTCAATTGTGGAACAAGTTCTGCATACAGTGAAAGCAAAAGTGAATTCCAACATGGTCTTGAGGGCAGTTTTACAGTGTCTTCGGTAAAAGCTCAGCGGGTAAGCGTGTGAGCATGTCAAAGGTGCTTGGAACTGACGCATTTTTTAAAAATGACATCTCTATGTATGAAATCAGATTAAAACATTTGTTCAAACTCTCTTCACTATAGTGCAATAATTTTTTTAGTATTTACGGTCATTTAACTACATGCTGCCTTAACAGTATTGTTGCTCAACACTATATACTATTGTGTGCACTGCTTTTTACGCAGAATTATGTTCTACACCAGTTCCATATATTTCATCGCCGCCCCTTGACTGGGCAGGTGGGTGTTGTTTGGAATTATGTTATACGAAGTATCCCATTGTGCACAGAAGCTTTATGGGGAGCATATGGCGAATATTCAAGCCCCTTTAAAACTAGGGCCTTCGCCCCTATTTTTTAAGAAAACAGCTAACATTTAAACACAATTCAGTTTTTTTTTTTTTTTCGTGACTTGGCTGTTGATTGCATGTTTATAAATTAATGTTGACCCTGCCGTGACTTCATAATATGACGGTTACGAGTAGGCTTGTGTGAATAGCGAAGTTTAGGTTTAAATGGAATAGTGATTTTGGTCGAATAATTTCCAATTGAATATGAACGGTATGTATGACATAATAGAATGGGAATATTTATCATGACCTAACAAACCTGCACAATATTTTTTTTTAAATAGGTGCTCTACGCGACTGTCATTTTTTTTTTCATTCAAAGGAAGTCGAAACAACCTTGAGTAGTAGCGAGATTTGAGTTTCGGTAGAATGCGACTGATAACCTGTAAAATACGTAACATTTTAAAATTTATTATACTTAGAACATATACTTAGAACTCGCAGCTCGTTTGGAGAGAACATCTTGGTGGGATCTTTTACCTAGCCAGGCCTGGAGTGCTTGGACGGCTGGCTTGGCCCCAGATGGGTGCCTGCTTAGACCTCGACTTCGCAACCCAACCGGTCATTGCTTCCGCACCTTGATTCTTCAATATCCAGCCATGTCTGCCTATCTGATTCGGTCTCGCAACACCGCAAGCTTTAATTTCAGTGCGTTGTTTTCTTCGATGGTCTTGGTGGTGCACATTTCAAACACGATTATGCCACATCACATCACGCCGCATGGTCACTTTACTTATCACAGTATGTGAGTAATCAATACTTACTGTATAGAAGGTACATCTTGCATTAAAAATATCTTTTTTTGAGACCTGTGATGTTTCTAAATTTTACAAAAAAAGATCACATTTGTGAAAAACATCATTTTTTTTTTCACATTGGGATGCATTTTACACCACGTGATAGTTCTATTAAAAATCAGCTTAATACCTTGATCCAAAGTAGACAAATAGTTTTCATACGGCAAGTTTTATCACTAAAATTTTTGTTTGCGCCCACTGCGAATGACGACATTGGAATTTCTGCAGCATAGGCTTTTTAACTCTTTTACATTATTAGATGAGCTTGAGTGCCATACAATGCAGTTACTGGCCATCTGACTCATGACGTCAATCTGTTGGCACAGGCTTACATCGAGCAGCATTTGAGGAGGAAATGCTGCTATTTTTTAAATATGTATCGGACTGTAATATACTGTATCTGAGTATGACGTCTAAACATCCCTGTGCATACCATATTGCTTTTCAATTAACAAACTGTGGTTCCTGTATCTCCTTTGAGGGCAGGAAATAGGGAACTTGGTTTACACAAGAACATTGTTAAGGGAAACAGTCGACCCGTTGAAGGCAGGTCTTCCCTAAATGTCCAGTTACATGCCTTCTTCGATGACCTCCCATCATACGAACCATCATTTTCCGTTGTGATCTTGTGGGCATTGTGAAGTGGTCGCCTGACGCAAGCCCGCTTTCCTGTTATGTGCCTCTAGAGGGTAAATATTGCCAACACCATGTAGCTTTGCATGACCATCAATGAAAATTAAGCTTGTCTTTTTTACCGTAGCAACCCGATATTTTAACCCCTGAGCTGCAGTCACGTGATAGTTTCACGAGTGCCCAAGTTGCTGTTTAATAATGCCTGGCATGTGTTTCACGTACCTATCCCTCACATTCTTTTCTTGAAATACATAGCTCATGGACACACTGTTACATAGCATTGCTGTCGTGATCATCACATCATTTTTTTGTCAAAATGATGTGATACAAAATGTTGCCTTTAATATCCATCTCTCATATGTTACCTTATCCCAAATACAGTGGCTGTGTTTTGTGTGTCAACCTAATGTCCCAAATTAGCTCTTTGGCTAACAAGAGATGCTACAGGTGAAGGCTCCGGACCTGTTAAGGTTAACTGGCATTCTGTAATATATTCACAAATGTTTTTGCATACCAGTCCTCTTAGAAATAACCCACAATCTTAGTTTTAGCCACACTATTCCATCCACTGAAACAAAACAATGAGCAATCGATGTTCACTTACAGGCTTTTAATATAAAGAAAAGCAGAATTCTTTAAGGAAGTTGAAACCTGGTTTATTAGTGCAACATGCAGGACTAAACTGCAACCACATTAATGTAAGTAAGAGGGTTCATTTCCTTGCAGTAAACGCCACACCTTAGAATGTTTCGACCTTTTACTCTGCCTCTAATGTTGCAGTGTCGTTGCACAGTAATATATTACACTCGTGAAAAAAAAACAAAAAAACTTTAGAACGCACAGTCACTTTTCTTGTGCTTCTTTTTCAGATAAGTCGGGCTTTTGTGAGCTCTTCTTTTCTGAAGGAGGTATGATTACAAATTTGAGAACTCCATTGTTAATCCTCTTCTGTAGAAACCTTGCTTCCCCTGCCAGAAAGGTCTCAAACTTTGTGTAGATGGCTTCCTAAGAAAAAAAAATATATAAGTGAGTGTAGTCGAACATATTTCTCACTTTTTACACAATGACAATGAGGGTTACTGAGGAAAATAAGGTGGGCTTTCACTTGCAGTTTTCTGTAAGTGTTAGGTATTGACTATGACACTGTGTTGGATACAGTAACATTTCCTGCTTGTAGGTGAAACCTTGTTAGCCTCAGTATTTACCACAGAAGTAACTTAAATAATTAAACTATAGAAATCGGGTGTTTAAAACTCTTTTGTATTTAAAAGGAAAATTTAAAGTACTTGAAAGAACGAAATTTATTTGGCAATTTTCTCATGTAAAGCAAGACATAAAAAAGTCTTAAATGTTTTATTTTGCTATGAGTGTGATACCCTAAACAGCATCTATCAGAGGATCGAAAAGGGTAAAGAAGAGAGAGGTATTATATGTCACTCTAATTTTTATAATATGTACACACAGAAAGATGAACAATAAACAAATATGCAGAGAAATGAATACTAGTGAATACACCACCAAAATCGGTAAAGCTATGTAAAGACAGTGTTGGAAATCTTCAGACTAGACGGACGTAAAAGAATTCAAATTGTGTCTGGAAACATTGAAACTAGAAAACGTTGATTTTCAACCTTGGTGACATATGAACAAACACAATTACACGGTGAAAGGTGTGTTTGTTTCCGAATTTGCAACAATGCTGCGTTTTTCGAGAACTAGATATACAGTTAAAGCCCTGTACAAGAGATGTGCTCCGGGCAGCAATTCTTGTCTTTTACATGAAATGTCTCTTATAAGCAGAGTACCTTGTATGCATTTTCTTAACCCTTATTTTGCTGTGTCTCGTATAAAGGGGTTTGACTGTATAGCTGAACTTGAAAATATCTTCATCCGATAATTATTACTATCATATACTTGTCACACACCAATATCGATGCATATTACAGATGAAATGTCATTGTTAGACACTAGACAAGTAAAATATTAATATAAGGATTGATAAAATAAAGTTCATGATTGGTACCTTTGCAACGTCAATCCATTAAATTATGTTATAATAAAACTTGTGGCTTATAAAAAACCAAGGAGGCACATGTAATGAGCTTACTACTCAATATGAATTATTTTTTACAAACTTCAGTATCTACACTATAAAGATACAGTTCCTGAAGAATAGGAATGTCTGACCTGATCATGACTGAAACCTTTGGTTTCAAGCATGAAATGCTCAATGCTGAGAGTCTCCAGCTTCTCAACCCAACTTACCAACTGTTTCGTTGAATCTGGACTCCCAGTTATGCCAACGCGTATTTCACAGTTTTTCTCCAGCCACTTCGCTATGCTCTTGAGCTTAGTGTTCAGGTCATTTTCAGTGATCTTGCTGGTTGCAATCACGTTCTTAACAGTCCGCTGCTTCGCTGCGCCTGTAGCACTGTTTCTTGCAGTGGCCTTTGCTAGCTTTTCTTCATATTCAATCATTTGTTGTGACGTCATGACCTTGTATATTTTCCTCTTCTTGGCCTCGGCATGTTTGTCATCCTCGAGTTTGACCAAGCTGCGAGTGGTTATGGACAAGAAAAAAAGATTGTTGATGGACTCTCTGGAGATACCAAAGTGCAGTAAGCAGAGCATAGTGGAGCACAGTTTTATACAAAAGCTTTTAAGCCATTAGGCCACGGGGCCTCATGCAATTGTTTGACTGTTGTCCATAAATTTCGGTAGCGACTAGGAGGCATCCACCCTCTATTTTCAGGCTTTCGGCAACAAAGTTCATAGGTTGCAGACACACTTGGGGCAGCTTCCATCGCACTTTATTTCAAGCATACAGACTGGTAACATGCTGTACTATGAAAATTTTGTCACTTTCACAAGCAGTTACACTCCTGTTGCATTCTGCTGAGCTCATAAATTCTGGCCTTTGAGAAGGAAAGACAAAAAGAAAAAAAAAAGGGGGGGAAGGAGTCATCGTAGTGTACGTAATAACTCTTCGACTTACGAGTCAGACTAAGAATAAACTGCTGGTAAACCATCTCTGTGGTGCATAGTCTTATTTTGTTGTTTATTTTATGATGCCGCAAATAATACCGATTTTATCCGGTGCACTTTCGATTAAGTCCGAATTCCTCGACTGGGATCGGCTCTCTTACGCAGTCAGCTGATCGCGATAAAAAAAATCCCCAGATCGTGCCTGACCAATGGCTGTCCAACCGCGATCGAAAGTACACCATGCGACACCGGCATAAGCGAAGCAAAGTGTTTGCTCTAATTTGACGACTGTGCTTTGGCGGCACGGTGTCATGAGAGCACGCGCTTAGTTACGGTGGCACTCACTGATAGTCGTGTTTCTTGGCAAACAAGACCGCTTCGTCCTTTGTTTTGGTCCCGAGAACCTTGTCATCGGTGTTTATCAGCAGGACGAATTCAACTTTCTGTTTTTCAGGCTTTGCAGAATCTTGGCAGTATCGGCGCACGAGCACACGGCTACTCGCAGTGACTCTCGTAAAATGCGACTGCATTAGCTCTAGGTACTAATGTTGACTGCACAGCGTATACGCCTACTGTCCTCACGGCATGGGTGGTAAAAGAGTGCAGTCGTAGAGCTAAACATCGTCCTAAAAACATGATGAACTCAACGCATCACGTCGAACCCAGCTCAACAGCAGAACGTAAACACGCGATCGCCTCCGAGATCAACAATGATGATGATGATGATAGGTGGCTCCCTTTGAATCGGTGGTCACAAATATTGTGACCTAGCCGGTGAAAAAAGGAAAAAAAAAAAAGGCGAGAGATAGAAAGTCTCGTAAAAGACAGCAGGGCACACACTTGTCAACGAACGCAATCAGAGACGCGCCTCCTGCCGCGCCTGCTTCAGACAGTAAATTGAACTTTTTTTACACCATGACAAGGTTACTGATTGGGGTTATCTTATTCATCACGGAAATTAAACACGTTCGTGAAACCATAGTCGAAGTGCGCAAAGACGTGCAAATACATATTTATTCATCATTCATCGCCAACACATCGCAATGTATTTGCGTACTGCAATGCAAATTACACGCTTTGCATTTCCAAGCCTGTCGTCGCACCCGACAAGTTGAGTAACCGTCGGCATTCTCAAAGGCAGATCTAGCAATACTTTTGCGCTGTGCTGTAACCAGCGCTGACATGCCAGATGCTCTACACCGAACCTGGCACAACGTCTCAAAACTATGTTGTTGGTCTAGTTGTTTACAGCTCAACGCAAGGCGAATAATTTAGAGTGTCAGATAGCAACTATCGAGTTGGAGCTTTTTTCTGTCCCGCCTTGTGGCGAGATCCGCTGTTTTGCAACCTGTTGCTATCGGAGAGTGCATGCCATTGAAAGCCACAATGTACTTGCATAACATTTCAGGACGTTTTTACCTTAAGCGAGAGTTCTTATTACTTTCAACTTCACTGAACTTCTCTAACGGTGTTGTTTTGTGCTTGACTACGAGACGTAACCACAAAACGAAACCGAAACTGCGTACGACGCGTGCTTGCCCATGATGCCTTTCAACTGCCCTCCTCGCAGAAAGTTGACAAAAGCTGCAAACGATCGGAGTGGCCGTAGCAGTCATGGCGGAGCACAAGGCGGCCAAATCGGCCGACGCTTCAACAGCAACAGCCGAGGAGGCGTCGTGGAGCGGTCTTTTCTCGGAGGTCTTTCTGAGCCCACTGAACGTGGTACTCGCCTCCATATGCATTTACCTGATCTACAAGATATTCTTCAGCAGACAGCACAGCCGGAGCTCCGAGGTGAAGCGTGAGCCCGAGCTTCCTCCTATGAAAAAGCGGGACATGACTCTCGAGGAAATTCGTAAATACGATGGCACCGGTGAAGACGGCAGGGTGCTCGTGGCTGTAAACGGAAAAGTTTTCGACGTCACGAAAGGACGGCATTTCTACGGTCCAGGTAAGACTATTGTTTTCGACTGGGTAAAGACACGTAGGCAGCTGCTGCTGTTATGACTGTACCGACTTTAAGGATTTATCTGCGCGCTGCTTATTTTGGTCGCGAGCGTTTACATTAGCTTGCTGACCAGCAGGTCCCCCTAGTCACAACGCGAAACGGTCGCTTGTGCGGAGTGCGCTTTCCATTCTTTTTTTTTCTTACGTCTGACCCGGCTTTTAAGCGAGAAGCTGCTATTGTCTCTACAAGGAAGCGAGTAGCTCGGAGAACGCTTGACAATAGAAGCAGCACCGAGGTAACAACAGAAATTTATGCCACGGAGCTACGCCCGTCACATTGCATAACTCGTCGTCCCAGCCGCTTAGGAGACGCCAGCGAGGAGGGCAAACAAAACGTTTGTATTTAATCCACATCGCATGTTATCGCGGTTTTCAACACCGTGTATCAGTGTACTGAGTGTGCCCTGGGGTGAGGAGACTAGCGTGTTTGTACTCTAATCTGTCTCTACAATGACACGTGCCCGTCGCGACTTTATCGGCATTGACAGCTCGCTGATTACAGGCCTTAAATGGAGCACCTCGTGTACACCAACAAGATGCCGGCAAGCGCCAAATTGACAGCGGAATTTTCATAAATATATATGTGTCTTCTTGATCGCCGAGCCGAACCAAAATACACCGACCAATAAAATGCGCGATGTCGCACAGTCTTATTTTCGTTCGCAAGTTGTTCCGATCGGTAATCTTGGTGTTATTCTTTATGTAGCGGTTGTTTACCAAAACCCGTAGCCCTGTTTTGAACGTATACAGTATCCGCATTGTATACGCGGGGATCAGATCCCGGCTGCGGTGGCTGCATTTTCGATGGAGGTGGAAATGTCGTAGGCCCGTGTACTTATATTTATGTGCACGTTAAATAACCCCAGGTTGTCGAAATTTCCGGAGCCCTCCAATATGGTGTCTCTCATAGTCATATGATGGTTTTGAAATGTTGAACCTCAGGTATTATTATTATTATTATTATTATTATATTCATTGTGTATGAGAAACAAATGCTTGATCATGCATTTCAAATAAAGAAAGGTATGTACTCTGGGAGTACATCTTCAACCTCCTATGCCACATTGCCACATTTAAGTGCATGTTGTGAAGCTGCTCTCATATTGCTTGTTATTATCGCACCTTTTCAAGGTTGGATAAAAGTGCCCTTTTTACAGGCACTCACGAAATCATCTATCGAAAATGTGAATCTGTTGGAGTGCACAGTTTACGACGCTGCAAATTCAAGAATTAAAATTCTCAAGTCTGGTTACAGTGGAAGTTGTTAAAATTTAGAAGTGGTATTTCTGTGTATCTTTGACAGCTTGCTTCTGTGTGGCTGAATTGTAGCGTTTGTTGTAGCAGCTGTCAAGTATTACACATTACTGTAACTGCAGCTTGGGTCTTAAGATCTTTTGTGGCGTCTAAACAATGCACATAATGACATATTACTTTTTTAGTGGGCACTGAAAGACTTCGTACTCCACAAAAATGTTTATGCTCTATATGCATGTTAGTGCAAGAACAAATGCTATTGTGTACACAATCGGCTCTCGCCCCCTTTTTTTTCTTCAAATTTAGCACATATTTGGTTCTGTGTGCATTGGCAAAGAACAAGTAATCTGTTGCACCTGACTTACTGGAGGTCTTAGATGTGCAATGTGTGTATATAGGGGGGGGGGGGAGACACCAGCTAATTCTGAGCAAAATCCAGAGTCCTTGTATTGTTGCAATGCAGATGAAAGGTTTTAATCTCTAAAGTTTTATATGCCAAAAACACATTGTGATTAAGACATGTACGGACCTTTGTGGGATTTTCGTCCATCTTGAGCTTTTTATAATGCACTCACATTGCACATTACTTATAATACTTTACCTTCATAAAAATGATTGCTGTAGCTGGGATCAAAGTAATGTCTTTTGGGTGAGCAGTCGCGCACCTTAACCACTGTATCTCTTGTGCATTTGTCTTGCTATGAAAAACATTAGAAGTATTTTCTAAATATTGTCACGTGCGTAATGTAATTCTGTAATGCCTTATGAAACAATAGGGTTATGAGACAATATTGTATGTGCAGCCAGTTGCTGTGCTGTCACGAATTTTTAGTCCTGTACGAGACATGCTTTGGCATGTGTAAAGCTCTTGTGTTCTGTAGAATCAATTCAGTTTTTGATACTGTGAGTGACTTTCCTTCCTGTCCACTTGCCGTGTTCAGGCTTGGGAACACTGCCTTTATCTGTGAAACACAAGCCAGCAGTGATAGCAGTGCAAATGTTGATTTTGTTTATAGTATAAGCAGTAAGAGGTTTACATAGCACCCTGGCACGCGCATATAGATTTCTGCGTAACTCGTGGCACTATATGCTTTGACATATCCTATATGTGGTGACATTCCAGGTGGACCCTACCATAACTTTGCGGGCTGCGACGCCTCTCGTGGTCTGGCCACTTTCTCCGTGGAGCGGCCCAAGGACGGTTACGATGACCTCTCTGACCTGAACCCAATGGAGATGGAGAGTGTCCGAGAGTGGGAGATGCAGTTCACAGGCAAGCTATTTCATTTAATAATACCTGGAGTCTGACATTGCAGAGAAATGCCAAAAAAGTTTTTAAAAATGATTAAAAGCGAAATAAAAGGGCTCTGGATTAGTCTTGAACTCTCTGCTTAAGGAAGCACCAAAACCTGGATTGTTACCCACAATGCACAGTTCATAGCTGCTGAAAGCCAATAGCAGCTTTTTTCGCACAGGGCTTGAGGATTTAAGTGTTAAGACGCTCCGTGTCTCATTAAACATCATTATGTTAACTTTTAGTATAGACAATTCAACTCCACTTAATATACCAATTAAATTCTTGGTGACCACGAACTCTGATCTTGTAATTACAATCTACGTATAACGAGGTTCTAAAAAAAAAGCATTCTATGCTTGTTCGAAGGGCTGCGTCTACTGTGGTGACCATAACTATACCCTATTCAAACAACTAATTATTGCATAGCAGTAGCAGAGTTGTTTTTCCTGTCCATTTCTGGATGGTCTCCATCAGAAAGCCTAGTTGAGCACAATAATCCTGAGCTCTGACAACCTGTCCAGTCAGTGTACCGTTTCTGATGGCCAGCAGTAGCAGTATTTAAGTACTCTATGAAGATAAGTGTGAACACAAAGCAATACACAGGGCCTGTCAACTGTCTACATCTGAGTTAGACGGCGCAGAAAAAAGATAACTTGTCTACAGATCCGAGGCGTTGGAAGCATAAATGAAGTATAAATATGGCAAAAGAATACAACTAAGATCCTAGAACAGGACACTGCCACATCTTTCTTAGTACATCTCTCCTCTGTTACTCGGGGGTTTACGATATGCTGTCAACGTTATCACTACAATTAGTCTCGCTGGATCAAATCCCAGTTGCGGAGGCTGCATTTTTGGTGGAAGTGAAAATGCTGTAGGCCTGTGTGCTCAGATTTGGGTGCATGTTAAGGAACCCCAGGTGGTCGAAATTTCCGGAGCTCTCCACTACGGATTCTTCATAATCATATGGTGGTTATGGGACGCTATACCCCATATATCAATCAATCATCAACGACGATTGGTCTGTTAGTGGTAATTTGGAGGTGTAGAATCGAGTGAAGAAAATTCTTGCGTAATGCTGGCCTTGGTTCCCGCATCGTGTGAAAGTTTTAGTGCGCACTTTCAAGCAAAGTGCGTTGCCCCCATGTTACGGAGGTAACGGATGTGCTTGTTTGTTCTCTCAAGCCGGCCAGAACAGCTGTGCTGCTTTCATTCTATGCAGCTGTCACACTTCCTGCACATTTGGCACACTTTTTCATGCAGACGGCCTGCCGGGCTTGTAGTGTGTGGCTAGCCTGACGCAGACAATACAGATTTCGTTTTGTGCCAAGATATCAAAGAGGAAAATTCGGTACTGCCATTTATCTGTGACCTAGTGTTTAAAAATATTTGAGCCTCGAACCCCTATGCACTGCTTTGTGGGTTCCTGTACTTGGACTTAGGTGCAGGAGAACCCCCTGGTCATCCAAGTCAATCCTTAGTCTCACATTGTGGCCAGCCTCTTAAGAATTTTGTGGGCATACCAAATAAAGTTCTGGAGTTCAACATCGTTTTCGTGCCGATATAAACGTTGTGTTTATAAAAAGGAATGTTCGATCAAGCGTCTTGTTAGAACTAGTTCTCACAATGGCTTAAAGGGACCCTGCGACATTTTTTGAGCATGGTCAGAAAACTCTGCCGATGGGTAGTCAAGGCTCCCTAGAACGCGCGAGCCAAATACTACAGCACGACACGTGGCTTGGAATTTACAATAAATTCTCAAGGTTGGCTAAATATTGCTTTCTTTTCTCTCAACAAATGACCCTACAAAATGAAAAATCGCTCGTCACAGCCATTGACTGATTTGAGCATGGCACGCTATGTTATTGCAGTCGCCGCGGGAGGCCGCGACTTGTCCCCGCGTGTGCGTGTGATCGCTCTAAGGTATCGTATTCAAAGAAGAAAAAAAGCGCTCAATGTCGAGAGGCGTGCATGACCTATTATTTTTCCCTGTGCCATCTCTCCCTGCTTGGCTTTCAGCGCTTTCGTCGCGAAGAGAGAATGCAGTTGCCGGCTGTGTCAAGTTTCTGTAACTGCGCTTGTATCGGACGGACTCTAAACATTTTTGCGGCAGTGAATTCGAGAACTAAGCTCCTTTATTATGCATCCAGACGATGAGCCAAATTGCTTTTCTGGCCCGTGGCCTCGCCACATGACCCCCCACTCCTGGTTCGGGGAGTCCAGAGCTGGGCCGAGAAAGCCAACAATGCTAAAAAGATTTTGACGAATGCCCGTCCCCATTCTTGGCTGCGGGCCGCTCGCTCAAAGAAATGTAGTGTCAAAAGAACAGCGTGTTTTTTTGTTTTTTTTTACAGCAGAGTACGCTGGCAGGGCAGACGTCAGTTTATGCTCTTCACGTACTACAAACTTGGCATCTAAGAAATAAAAATTCGAGCACTATATACAAACGCATGCGAAAGCTTGGTAGTGGTGGTTTACTGACAGCTCCGAGAAGACACGACTGCCGCAGAAAATGCGCACTTTACCAGTAGCACACATATAGGGTTCGTGTTGTCGCCTCATTATTATGTCATAAAAATGCTGCTGTTCCCCATCGGCACGTACATAGCACATGCTCAAACACGTCGTCTTTGACGACTGAATTTATCTGCCTCGCAAAGGTTGTCAATGAAGCGCTGTCGATTGTGGTGTGATTCACACCGTGAAAACACTTTTATATATCTCGATCTTTTTAAACCTTCAAATCACATCATGGGTCAAGCTACATGTGCAGGATGACCAGACGACAGCGCGTGCAGAGCACGTGAGCCTGCTGAAAGAGCGCAGTGAGAAGGCGAAAGCGATAAGACGAGCGACCAGTTTTTGCTAGAAAGGAGGTCAAATGCGCGCGTCGCAGTGCCATTTGGTCGAGTTTGGGAGGCTTATAGTACGTTCACCTCCATAGCGGTGAGTTTACCATGTGGGGATGGATACCTCTTTTTTTTTTTTTTTTTTTGTAGTATCTAAGGATCATTTAGGTGCGAAGGTCTAAGGAGGTTCTGTACTGCAGTATGAGGTGGCTTGGTAATTTGCAAAGCATTGAGCCGCCTCATCCACGTGCAGGTTCCCAGTCACGCCCTTATGTCCCAGTGCTGTTGCAACGGTCGGAACGTATTTCACTGTTGGGTCTTAACCAATATTTGGAGTACCTGTCCTACAATTTCGCCCCTTATGTAGTTTCTGCAAGCTCTCTGTGAGTCGCTGATGATTGCTACTAATGCTTGCTAATGGAGCATTTTGCATCCATCCCTGTTTTATTGTTAGGACTACGACAATCTCTTCTGCTTGTGTTAGAGCGACTCGGATCTATTGAAGTGCAGGCTATAATTTACCCCCTACGGTCTTTGATTGCCCACACAGCCACTTTTTCATCCGTCTAATAAGGCACGGTGTCGGTAAATCTCGCCATGTTGATATATTTTGTCACTGGAATTGCTGCTCTTGAAATCGTGCGCGATGGCACAATGTACTTTGGCATCGCAGCGTTCAGGACAGCCTCGAAGCCTGACTCTTAACCACACTAACAATGCATCTTTTAAAACTATGAATCTGGCAATAGCCTTTGTCTGCTATGCCTTCGGCACCGTTTCTTTTTTTTTTTTTGTTTTTGCTTGAAACCAGAGGAGGAGGAGGAAAACGTGCGCCGTGTGAATGTGTCCTCCTTTACATCTAGTCTGTCGTATTTTCTGGCACTATTGTACTGCATCTATATCAAGCAGTTCGTTATCCAGCAATTGAGCCATGTAGCCAGAATGTTGACATCCTTCTAAGTTTGTTATTATTAGAGTTTCATACCTGAGGGCTGGCCTTTACAGTAAAGTGTTTTCTCATAGCAAACGAAGTACAGTTGGGGGAGTGGAGAAGGGAAATAAACAACCTAAGGTAGCGACTACCGTGTGAACCGGAATATAGGTCCAGATGTTTTCAATAAAATAAGCTAAAGCCGACCCTCGTCTTATATAGCGGTGTCTAGCCAAAAGTGCACCGCTGTCTGGCAACATGTGGCTTGCATGTGCTTGAGAACCAGGATGTGGCCATATCCGCGTCCAAATCCAATCGCAGGCTGTTTTTTTTTTCTCCGTCTGTTTTCTTCACGGAGGAAGGAAAGGTAGGAGAAGGCATGCCCAGCCGGCGTGCTGCGTGAAAAGTGTGGCAGAAATGACATCCTGGCGGCCATATTCCCTGGGCACAATGGCGGCGTTGCTATGGTTACGTGTTGCACAGTGGAGCTGGTCTAGCAGTGAGCGGCCGCGGCTGGCGGCGGCATGTGTGCCTCCCCAGGTCTCGTACTGAGCAGTGGCGTACAATATCCGCGCTCTGCGCCGCGTTATTGGTTACGCAGTGTTCTCCTGGCAGTTACTGTACTCTTAGCAACGTTTACAAATCGCTTTGTCCATCACTGGGTTTCAACAGTGCATAGAACGAGTGCATATCCATGTGTCGTGCGGCGGATGACGCGGATGAAGCACTTAGGTGTTCAGCGAAATTGCATTGGTCACCATGACGAAGCTGATCGACGACGAACGCCTTGCAGGTGAGTGACGGTTGAGCAGTGCTCCTGCTTGTGACAACGGACAACACGGTTGAGCCCAGCAAGACGCTATGAGGACCATGTGCATATACGTAGTTTCGTGTTGTGTACAGTAACAACTTGCATGTGCGTATTAAAATACCTTTCTAGTTACGCTTCGTACAATCTCCACCAGCATTGCATGTAATCTCAACATAACAGCAATCGCGTTTCAAGTGTCACTTGCACCGTGCTCAAAGTTACCACGGTCGCAGAATGCTGACGCCGGTGAGTTTCACGCGGAACACGCACACGGTGACCGTACACTGCGTTGGTCGCGTGGCGGAAAGCAACCGTAGAAGGCGCACGACCAACCGTGTCGTCTGTACAGTTGCTGAATTAATGACGTGAAAACACTCGCCGTTGTCAGTGCATCTAGCGCGCATTATCTCGTAAATGCTTCGTTGTCGGCGAGCCGTTACTCTTTGTTATTACTCAGACGAAATGATTTCGCCGAAGGTGACCCGCTGGCTCGGAGTGATGAGCCCCGTTCCATTAGTTTCGGATCATCACGACACACATGCTGCGCAGCTCACGTGCTTTTCGAGCTGGAGAGAGAGTCGCGCCTTCTGCTTTACATTCGGATGTAAACAAGAGAGGAGAATTCGCCCAGTCAATATGGCAGACTTCCGGCTTCATCGCGGCTTCACAACGAGTGACGTCAGGACCTCTCCTACCTTTCCTTCCTCCGTGGTTTTCTTTGTGTTCGTGATTTGCTTCCGATCTGTTCAGAGTTTTCGCTCTGCTTGACATTGCGCTGGATTTTAGTGGTCTTTTTTTTTTGTTTGTTCACTGAATATGAGTAGCGGTGCGAGGAGGCAGTACTCAGCTGCGTTTAAGCTAGATGTTGTTGAGCTTGTAGAAGCGAACAGGATTATGGCTGATCAGCGCTGCTTTGGTGTATCGGGAAAAAGCGTGCGCTATTGGAGGGCGTAGAAAGAGGAAGCTGCAGATGTGCAATCTTCGAAAAATGTCGTTTCGTGGACGAAGTGCTGTTCATCCGCAGCTGGAGGATAAGCTAGCGACTTTGTGCAAAAAGTTCGTCCGCGCTCGCTGCCAGTGACCGTGGATACCATTCGCAAGAAAGCCGTGCAACTCGCACGAGAAGCTGGGCTCACGAGAGAAGAGTTTCGTGCACCAAACTCTTGGGTGCGTCGATTTATGCTATGCAAAGGATTTTTTCTTCGGCAGCGCACATCCATCTGTCAAAAGCTGCCGGAGAATTCAAGGACAAGCTCATAAACTTTCAGCGCTTCGTGAACCGGCTTCGGGAGCAGAACGACTACATGATGGGGCAGATTGGCAACGTTGATGAGACCCCCCCGTGGTTTGACATGCCTTCGTCGACCACGGTCACGCAGAGCGGCGCTAAGGATGTGAAGCTGTTGTCCACTGGCAACGAGCACTCGTGTTTCACCGTTATGCTGGCACGCACGGCAGATGGTAGAAAGCTTCCACCCTTCATCATTTTCAAACGGAAGACAATGCCGAAGAAAGTGTGTGTGTGTGTGTGTGTGTGTGTGTGTGTGTGTGTGTGTGTCCCCGGTGTTGTTGTTTGCATCAACAAAAAGGGACACATGGACGAGGCCATGATGCTCGAATGGATAAGAGTGGTGTGGAACTGTCTGCCAGGTGCACTGCTGTGTCTTCGCAACATGCTGGTGTTGGATGCATTTCGTAGCCACTTAACCGACGCAGTGAAACGCGCATTCGGGGACGGGAAAACGGACCTCGCTGTGATGCCAGGTGGTATGATGTCCACCCTCCAGCCGCCCGACGATGTGCTAAACAAGCCGTTCAAGGACCGAGTGCCGCTGGAATACCAAGAGTGGATGTCTGGCGACAACCCCAAGACACCGACAGGCCGCCTATAGAGGCCTCTGCTTGCGACTGTTTGTGGCTGGGTGCTTTCCGCCTGGCGTTCCTTGCCGGATTCCATGGTGGAAAATGCTTTGAAGAAGTGTTGCACAGGCAGCTCGTTGGATGGCGCTGAAGACAACGCCCTGTGGGAGGCGGCCAGCGACAAACTCTCGTCTTCAGAAGACAGTGGTGCTTTGTCGGACGAATAGGAGCAGTTGCAATGGTGGTTGAGGGGAGCTCCAACAACGGGGTGCGGTGCACCCAATTCGCAAATAAATGTGGTTCGGCAGTTTTCATTTTTTTTTTCTTTTTCGGTAACCTGAACTTGGGGGGTCGACCTATATCCCCACTCGACCTATAGTCCGGTTTATACGGTACTTTCCACACATAAGTGTAAAAACCAAAGAGCAGCACAGATCATTTTGGCACAGATGCTTTCTCCAAAGTGGCAGCAAAAGTCTGAAACTATAGTATTGTATTGAGTTCAGAAGCATTTACGTTACAAGTGGTGAAGTGTATGTGCTGTTAATTATGAAAACGGGTTCATTTAGCACTTATTTTTTAAAGCATCTGATCGTTTCTCTTTTGATCTACCTGCAGAGAAGTATCACTACGTGGGGCGTCTGCTGAAACCGGGTGAAGAGCCGACTGACTACTCTGATGAAGAGGAGTCATCAGCTACAGACTCTGCTGCCAAGAAAGATGGCGGTGATCAGTCTGCCGCTGCATCGGGTGGTGACGCTAAGCCGCATGCGGACTGAGGGGCTACACATACACACATTGCTGCCTCCGCCATCGCCCAACTGCCATGGGAACATATCTTCATTTTGTCACTGTTTCTTTTTCTTCTCCAATGTGCGTGTGTGGCCAGGTTCTTTGCGCTGTGCCTAGAGGAGGTCGTGCTGCTGATGTTAGGTATCGTGCTGTGCTCGTACTACGCAAAATGGTGAATACATAAACTGCCTTGATTGTTGCGTGTTTGCAAATGCTCTGCATTACTGTAGTGCAAATGAAGGTAAGTGTATTCTGGTAATTTGATGTAAGTAGAGGTTGAAGGCAGTCAAGACCCGAGAAAATTTATGCCGTTCTTCCAGACTGGAGCGGTCCGTGTGTAAACACAGTCTTAGTGCAGACGCTTGCTCTGTGACGGACATTGTATGCCTTCCGCCAGTGCTTCGAAAAGGGTACAAATAACTGCGCATCTAAGTGGATGCAACAGTCTATTCGGCATAGTGAGCAGCCTCGCATTCCTGTGGCCACAGTTCAAGGAAAATTCTGGGGCACAAATAATTGGCTCTCATCTGCCTATTTTGGCAACATTGTTTGTGCACAATGCTGCTGTGGCTTTTTTGATGGAGCGAGCAGGATGGAGTGTCGTACGCTTATCTACATAACGTTAATTGATGCTTTATAATTTAAAAAATTGTTACGCGTAGGCGTGGGCATATTGAAGTCGCCGCGGTTTTGCTTTACGAACCGAGCACCCTGGGTCGTACTTTGCAATTGCCACGGCCTGCCACTGTGTTACCCAGGCTGGTGTGCCCAGCTAAACACAAGTTTAATTGTTGTCACTGGTAGCTTTACAGCCAGTGTAAATTTCACGATGGACTCTCACTTATGCGATGCGGCACCCTGACCTGCCACTGTGTTCACAATTGCCAGTGCAGCAGCAGTAACTATGATGTCGCACATTTTCAGGCCTTGTGTGTTTTAAGTAAGTGCATGTCTATTCGTCTTTTGTTCCGTTTCCTCTCTTCTGTTTCGAGCAGCCCTTTTTTTCTCACCCAACCCCATTATAGCGTTGTTGTATGAGCAAAGGAAAACCTGCCAAGAATGCCAGATGCTGCTGCTACTGTGGCTGCATTCATCTTTGGTGTGCCTTTGCAACACGGCAGCTTCCACATTTCTCCTTTGCCCCAGTGCTGCACCTGATGCAGCCATGGGTTAACATTGCATATATATTTTGTGGAGCATCAGTTGGGTCTTGCATTTGGAGAGTGAGAAGTGCTTGTTTTTGCTTCTTGCCTTCCCGTTTCCACGCACAGACTTGTACATAATTACTATTCTTGTGGGCATGTCCTCAGTTCTAAATACTTTTCTTTTAGATGACAATGGACACAACTGTGGCTGTTACCATGCAGTGTGTATAGAAAAGCTACTTGTGTGCATGGTGGGTGTCTGTGTGATTAAAGAAAGAAAAGTGGGATATTCCAAACAAAAATGTTGCTTCTCTTTCTTGTGCTTCCTGTGGCATGCATATTTACACAAGGAAAAAATAGTTTTGCTAATGCACTACCATTCATAATCCTGTTTTGAAAAATTGTCAACACAATTTGTTTTCAATGAAATTTTCTGTATACCCTCTGTTTTCAGCCCTAGTTTTCACTTAAGAAGTGTTTGCATGCTTCACATCTTGTAGATAAAGTCAAGCTTTGAAGTAGAGCTGTGCAAATAGCAAAATTATTGGTGCAAAGCTAATTCGAATGTTGAAGTGCGAGTGCAAATTAAATTAGATAATCATTTTTCTAATATACTTCGAAGCGAAACTGTAGAAAAATATATTGCACCATTTCCCGCTAAACCATGTGTATCGATGCGAATCAGGTGGGCGCTTACGCTTACAGTGGCAGCAGCACTGACGCTAGTGCTCAATGCGGCGTTGCGCTGAAGAGAAACCTGGGGAGGTGCAAAGCATGCAGTGATGAACCCGTGTTTCCTACTGGAATATACCAATCACTGCTAATGGGCAATGAGAGACTAAAGCCTACGATTGGACAAAGATTCGAAGTCTACCTTCAGTTAATGCACGCGCTGCAAATTTTTATTGTTCAACACACACAGGAGAAATCTCCCACTGGCATACCTTGGAGGTCAAAATGTAGTGCTTGTGTAGACGGGGTGGTTTTCAATCGAGAAACTCGCTGGCAGGCGCTGCCTGCGCTGTCTCCAGAAAGAATCTGAGGGCACATAACACTGCAATATACAGTGAAACAAGAAGAGCGGCTCGATCTGAATTTACAAGTCTGCAGACAGTGGCAAGCTTACAGGGCAGTGGCTTATGCTCCAATGCCACTGCTGGGAAACTAAGAAACCTTGGTAGCTTCACGAAATCTGTTAGCACAGATAATGCTACATTAAGAAATACTGTATGAAATGAATAACTACAAGAAATACGATATATTTCACTGAATTACCTTTGTGCAAAATTTCAGAATGAAACAGTCCATCATAATAAACCATCAGTTTAACTAGTGCTTCAGCGCTTGTCCTGTTGTGTGTGTTCCTTCGTTTCTTGAGCTGCTTCAAATTAATCAGTGGGGCTTTACGTCCTTGAACCATGTTATAATTGAGTTACACCATAGTGGAGGGCTTTAAAAATGTTGACCATCTGGTATGCTATACCATGTGCCTAAATCCATAAGTTCAAGGCTTCGACATTTCACCTCCATGAAAAAATCGCAGCATATTCCCGGAGTGAATGGTGATGAGTGGGGCGAAGCGTCTGTCAGCCCGTTCGTGCTTCCATCCATCCGTTCATTCTTGCTTCCGTCCTTCCGTGCGACCATCCACGCATCCGTCTGTCTGTGAGGCCGTCCATCTGTCTGCTTGTCTGTCTGTCCGTTCGTCCATCTAGTGAAACACTGCAAGTACCGCCATCTCCCATCTCGCATCCCCTGTGGCACATACCCGCTCTAGAGTGGGTTTGTGCCACTGGTGGCTAGCTACCTACTACCACTACTACATACATCGGAGGATGGACAGACCCACGCCTTGGGGAGCTGCACCCCTAAAAACGGCTGCCGCAGCCGTGATTTGACTCCGAAACCTCTGGGTGACTGCTCGAGCACTGTACCCACATACCACCAGTGGCAGTCCAGCAGTTTGGTGCCTCACTCAAAGTGTCTCGCGGCATATAACGTATAGCCTAGGCACGCGAGTTGCAGAAAACTTGGGAGCAGGCTCCATTTTCTCCTTCAAGAGTAGAACACCACAGTAGCATAATCGTGACCCTTCGCATCGCCTTCTCAATCTAGCCAGGCTTCGCTCCTTGGTGCGGCAAAGAAATAAATGTCTGTGCACGTAACATTTGCTGATTCAAACAAACCTAGAATGCCTATTATGCCATAGCTCTTCCTTTTGGGAAGTAGCAAAGTACCCACTACATGTCTGTAAGGCAACACACGCACCTACACATTTAGTTGATTCTGCTGCTACTGATCATTTATGTATGCCCAAGTGCCTTGTAATCGGTGGGTCTACGCCACCACTCTTAGCGTAATCGCACGTGTTATGGTACCTGGTGCAATTCTACACTTGTTCCATCAAAGATTGCATGTGTTGAGAAGAGTCCCAGCACTACATGACATTCATATTGGACTTCCTTCTTTTTAAACAGTTTCAAGCACTGGCACAACTCTGTGGTAGAGCACCTTGTCAGGCAGAAGGCCTGGCTAGGTTTGATTCTCACTTGAACTTAAGACTTTTATTATTTAATTCGCATCAATCTTGGATTTTTTGTTCAGCCACCATGCTAATTTTATGTTCACAACCAAGAAAAATTAGGCCAGCACCAGAACTTCTGCGGAAACAGCTCTTTAACACCATACCATCTACATAGTTTCACGGACTGGACAGACAAAAATTGACTCCAGAGCAACTATCAACCATTTGACAACTAGTATGCAATGCTACATATGTATATTTGATTTTTTTTTAAATGTAGACCTATGTTCAAAATAGAGAAATGAAAGGCAAGGTTTTAAACTTCTCTGAGCAATACAAAATAGAGAATCTGTGACACTGTACAACACTTTAAATGTTGGCATTGCAGATGCCAATGCATTTGTCAACCTAATTTGTGCATCTTCTGAAGTCACCAATTCAGTTTTGTCAACAAGCCTTGTAGTTTTCTTAATAAAGGGCAAACATTTTAGTTTTCGTGAAGGTGTGTCCCTGGAAACGCTGAAGCTACATGCCTCATAGATTACCTGGAGAAGGCAACGACCATGCCATAGGTGATGTAGTTTTGTTAGCTTGCTGTTTTTCCTGCTTTCTCATTTCCAAAAGTTATAACTGCCGCTTCAGCAATTTACATCGAAAGTGTTGCAGTACTTTTGAAGGGGCCCTGCAACACTTTTTCAGCATGGTCAGGAAACACTGCTGATCAGAAGTCGAGCACTGCTGAGAACACAAGCCGGACATGCAGCACGTGGCTTGGAAGGGACAATTAATTTTCAGAGCACGCCTATCGCACTGAAAGTTAACTTCAATGAAAAAAAAAAAAACAATTGCTGAATTGTCGTGACGCACGTAACTTCTTTCCCCATGCCATCCCTCTCTGCTTGACTTCCAGAATTCTCGTCATTACGAGAGAAGAGAGAAATCAATTACAGCGTATTACAAATATACCTCTGTTTGTATTTGGCAAATTCCGAAAATATTTTGTGCTAGTCAATTCCTGAGGCAGTAACACCTCTAATAAGGCCATTCGATTTTTGCTTGGAAAAGTGTTGCAGGGCATCTTTGATTCACAAGAGAACACAGGGTGGTGTGTCACAAGCCACTCGGAATTTGAATTATGGAAGATCCAAACTATGGCAAGAGCAACTTGGTATGGACTCCATGTTTATTGGATTGCATGACTATCAGTTTCGCAGCATTGCCAAGCCCACTTTTACCCTGCTGCATCGTTCCCCCATCGTTCATTTTGAAGTAAGGCCACGGACCACACAACTAGGGAGATCACAAGACACCACCTCTTGGACATATAGTATGTGCGCACATATTTACACAACAAACAGGCCGCACTCCTGTCAGCTTTGGCTTGCCCGAATGAGGACGGTTGAATTCTTGCCAGATTGCACTTTGGCCTCGAGTGCCTTCTGACGCTTCTTGGCTTCCAGATTCCGCAGCAACTTCTCAGCGCAGCAGCTGCTCTTGTCGCAGAAGGTGCTCACGAAGCTTGCTTTCTTCTTCCTCAGCTTCAGCATTTTTCTTTTCCTCCTCCTCCTTTTGTTTCTGTGCCTGTGAAAAAATAAGAGGTAGGAAGGATAATCAAGTGGCCTATCCTATAATGCCTTTTTTTTTTCTAGTTGCCATCTAAGTGTTCTTCATTATCCTTCATTCCCCACTAATGTATGCCCCTAAAGGGTTCTTAAGGGTCAAATAAATGATGACGATGATCCTTAAAGGGACTCTAAAGAGCGAAAAGATTCTTCACATATTCGTAAAGCACGATTTCACAATCCCAAAAACACCAGTCTTACCGGGACACGATGCTTAGTAAGCGAAAAAATGCACGGGAAAAAAAATGCAGGTGGCGATGCCACTTTGAGGTTTACGCACTAAACACTGTGACGTACGAAATTTTGAAGGCGTCTACTGGGTCCTACATAGCCTTCAAGCAATAAAAATGAGTATGTACATTGCAAATCTGCGGGTGTCATAGACTTGGCATACAAAGTTTCAAAAAATTTCATCAAATCAATGCCACGAAAATACCGAGAAAATATTGTGAAATTTCTTACGTCAGGTGTGGAGATTCCGACGTGAAATTTAGAAATGAAACTTTAACCATGATTTTCTCCTATAATAACGAACTTATGATAGTGAAAAATATGGCATTAGAGTTCTCAGAGAAGTTTGTGAATCTAAACCAAGCCATTGTTTCTCTTCAGTGTACCTGGATACTGAACAAAATTTTTGCTAAGATTTGCAATCAAAACCAAAAATGTGGTCCTGAAATTGATAGAAAACCCTTCACTTCCGGCAGAAACTAGAGGAAAATGATCAATTTAATGCTTTTTCACAAACTGCCACATCTAGCGACCATGCCATGAACTAGAGGCGGTGACGCTTGGTGATGTTTCATGCACCCAGCATTGGGCATGTTAACAATGCCAGCCACGTCTTTCAACCACTGCTCTCGACCTGCTGAGCTTCCACTACAGGGTTCCCAGAACCACCACCAACAGCACTGGCAGTGAACAATTCTCCCGGTTTAGGTAAAGCCCCTAAACGGAGGGGCATACCTCAGCCCTTTACATCTCACTGTCCAAGGAAGGAAGAAAAAGAACGGCAGGGAGGTTAATTAGTCTATAGACAGCCGGTTTGCTACCCTTCACATGAGAGGGGGATGGAGGAGATGAAAGACAGAGAGGAAAGAAAAATAAACACAGCACACGCAGCACACACTCAGTCATAGTCTCACTGTCCAAAGGAACAGCTGAGAGCACTGCGGTAGCCATGTGATGCGACAGTTCGCGCTATCGTACAGATTCCACACGCCGACAATCCTCAAAAAAAGCGGTCAACTGCTAAAAAATATACGAAATACGCTCAGTTTGTCAAACAGTTACATTTTGCTAGTAGAATCTTGATGTTTCATTCAGTTTTCCCCAATTCGTTCAGTATTCGTTTAAAAGAATTCGACAGGAGTGAGACACGAAGAATACAACAGTAGGGACAGCACCTCTGTCGACACACAAGGGAACAGTGCGCGACCACAGGTGCGGATTGGAAGGTGAACGCGGATAATGTGTCCTGATTTCACTCGTTTTCCTTCACTGCAATGAACCCAGGATGACAAGTAATCGCTTCCAATCATAAATGTGAGCTGGATTATTTTCAGCTTTTTTTTTAGACCGAACTGATGGACAATATTGTGCGTGAAACGAACTGCAATGCGTGTGAAAAAATTTGGAGTGCCAGTAAGTGGCTCAAATCACACGCCGCTCAGATATTGGAAAAAGGAGCTGCCTGCAGAATGCAAGTGAAAAAATAAATATTCTACGAGTTTTTCTTGCACAGTTTGTGTTTTGCTTAATGACACCACAAACTGGCAAAGTAGTTTCAGATAGGAACCAGAAGGTGGGCAAAAGTTTCAGAACGCAAAAGAGTTAACAGTGGCCGTTTCATATCGAAATACAAAGGAGCTTCAACCACAGCTTCACAAGCTCATTTCACAATAGCCCTAACATTGCCCATTTTTGGCACTTGGTCATACTGTTCTAAGGGCTGCACATACAATCTACTAGCTACCACACTTCTGGGCATCAATCTTATTTCAAGCAGTTCTGCGGTAAAATGACACACAAAACAAAGTGGACTTTCTACCAGAAACGTGCTGTGCATTTTGAGCTTTGAAACTAGCCACTCTGTCACCTTTTTTTCACTTATGTAGGATGACTGAGATCTACATCTGCAACAGCAAACCAGTCTGGATATTGATCACACTGCTCAGTGCACTCACCCGAACAAGATCAAAAAGTTCCTGAAGCAAATGGGTTGCCTGGAGTTTGCGTGTTGCCTCCGCAGCACACTCCTGCTGTCTTTCTTGAGACTCTAGCTCCAAACGATGCTGCTCGGCAATACGCTCTTCATCGGCAACTTGCTCCACGTCAAAGATACACAGGTCTTCCGCAATAGAATCACTCTTCACAACTTGCAGCTGCTCTGAAATTAACGGCTGTTCAGCTATTCGGTGCTGTCCAGCAACACTCCCCTGTTCGGCTATTCGCTCAAGCTTGGCAAGCGTCTCCTGCTCCATGATGCGTTGCTCTTCGGCCAGACGCTTCTGCTCGTCGAGTCTTTCCTGGTCGATAAGGCGTTGTTGTTCAGCATGCCACATCTGTTCAGTGAGCCGTTGCTGCTCAGCAATGCGCTGCTGTTCCACAAGATGCTGTTTTTCGATGAACCACTGCTGCTCTTCCATCATGCGCTGCCGTTCAGCAAGCCGTTTGTGTTCAGTCAGCTTCTGCTCGCTCGACCGCCTTCCTCGCTCATCTACGTCGGACGAAGAGTTTTCCCTCCTTGTTTCTTCGCTTGCGCTTGGATTTCTTGCGCTCGCCGCTCCTCTTGCGGTCGCTACTCTTGTGCCTTTTAAGCTCTGCTTCAACCTTCTTCCGTCTCAGGCTTTCCTCTTCCTTCCTGATCTCCTCCTTCTTCCTCCTCATCTCCTCTTCTCTCTTACGCCTAGCTTCTTCCTCCTCCCACTTGTTCCTCAGCTCCTCTTGGTACCTAGTGACAAAAACGAATGGTGTGTCATGAGTGTGCATGCTAAGAAACTGCCATCAGCTCAACTATAGACTACGCAATAAACACAGGATACACTCTTGAAACTAGGAAGCACGAAATCGACGAAGACGGGAAGGGACACAGAAAGATAAGACAGGGCACCCTGTCCTATCTTTATGCGTTTCTTCCTGTCACTGTTGATTTTGCGCTCCCAAGTTTATGAACCAACTAGCCCAGCAATGCATTCTTTTTATAGAATACAGTGCATGTTAGAGACAACAAATTCAACGAAGCAAGCTATCATACAATCGTGCTGCACAAGAAACTGCCAAACATGCAAAAATGCTTTCAAAGCGGTGATGTAACAATATACAGATGCTCGCACAATAATTCAGAATGTCAGACAGATGGCCATTTACTGGCAGAGCGCACTGGTGGAACAATACTGCCGTGGTCTGAGCGCATGGGATCTCCCCAGCAAGCAAGGCTTGCTCGCAAGTGCATACAGAATGGTTTCGTCTTAAATAACTTATGCTAGGTGTGCATCAGCACTGCGACAGGAAGGCTGGACGATTGGGTTCTGTAACATGCTGTGTGTGCGTGCATGTTCATGTGCTTTGCCACCTTTTATCCTTTATGTTGGACTAGCTTTTCAAAACCACGTGCCTGACTGGCCAACATGTGTTTCCTCGCATATAACCCGCCGCTGTGTATAATGTGTACCCTCTGACTTTAACTCTACAAAAAGAAGGTAGACATGCAAAAAAATTCAGATATAAACTGCACGGCGAGTTCTCAAGCACATTTTTTTTTTTTTTTGGTGCAGGTTATATGTGAGAAAATATAGTACTTATGGTGTGTGATTGCAACTACAGCTAGTAAAAACCATCTTTTAACTAGAGCTAAGAGGCACCTAACACTATACTTCGCATCAACCAACGCCATTCTAGGTGCACTAGTGAGCGGCACTAGTGAGCGGCACTAGCTAGCTAGGGGTGCTGCGCATACACAGATCATGCCACTACTATCCTACCAATACGCACCACTAGTAAACAGCTGCGTGCCTGAACTTCCAGATTATTCTGCGGGCACCTGCACACACACTGCAGCGTGAGTGCGAACATCAAGAAGAGACATAACTTTCATTTTCTCAGCTAGTAACCGTCAGTCTTTTACACAAAACAAGCGCAATAAAGCTTTTCAAGAGGGTACCGACACCGCTTTTCGAAGGAGAATGTACTCTGCCATAGAAATCTTCTCTATGGAGGGACAGCACTGGGCACGTGGGACACTCAGCAAATGCTGATGTTTTATTTTGACAAGAAAGTCAATTTTCCATTGCTGTCACCTTCGATACTCGACTGATATCAGGCAACAGTGCTGATTTTGGCGACTTCAACCGACACTCTGGCTACGGTGTTGTGACGTCAAGTACCAACACTTCCGAAATGGCCACTTTTGCACCACCAACGAAGCTACGGTGAGGAGTTGCCATGGAAAGGGTCACAAGTTCTTTTACAAAGAGGTGACGAGAAGCTCATACCGTGCTGTGACGTCAGGGTACAGCAGAAACCGAAACCGACTTTTAAAAGGACACTGTAATTACGATTTCAAAGGTGAGCTCACACTTCACCGTACTTTTTCTAGGCTCTTCAGTTCTTCACTTTTTATTCAACATGAGAAAATGACACCTGAAAAATTTTGCGTCAGTACCCCTTGAAGGAACCTACAAAGGATGCTCGGTAGCACCTCATTCAGGCCTTAGACTCAAAGGCCTCCCTGTGGTTTGTAGACCCCAGAACTCGGAATAACACGTTACTCTCTCTACTTCTATACGTGCCGCCAACATCACTGCCACAATGTACCAGCCATTTGAAACAGCAGAACTCGTATGCCCGTACATATGCCCGCTCATGTACCTTTTCATGCTCTCTTCTTCATCCCTTCTCTTCTTGGATTCATCTTCCTTCTTTTTCATTGCCTCTTCTTCCTCCTTCTTTTTCCTGGATGCCTCCTCCTTTTTCCTTTTTGCATCCTCCTCTTCTTTTCTTTTCCTTGCTTCCTCCTCCTCCTCGCGCCTCTTACGCTCCTCACGACGACGCTGCTTTTCCTCCCGCCTGCGTTCCCGTTGTTCCTCTTCCTCACGCTGGCGTCGCCTGCAAGCAGAAGAACCATTTGGCTTTCAAATAAAATCAGAAAGCAGAAGCTGAGGCCAGATTAATATTTCACAAATTTTGCAGTTAATATTATCATTATTACTTGGTATGAGTACGCAAATACACAAAATGACAGAGAAAATAGGAAGAGAGCAGGCTGACCATTGCCATCTGAAGGGGCAGAATGCCTGCCATTCACCTTCTGGAGAAAAGGAAAGAGTAGGGGAAAGGAAGATAGAAGGGGAGAAAAACGATGCATTGTGTATATCTTGTGGCTCCTGCTAAAAACATTAGCATTATATATTACAGTGTCCCTGAAATGGTGTGCACGAAACATTGATGATTAAATATAGACGTACCGGATGCAAGATTGGGACACTTGAAAATTACCTCTATTTGAGAAAGCGTGCTGCTGAACGTGGCCAGGCCCATCGAGCTTTCTTGACTTATATGAACCAAATTGATCTTGCCACCCGTTAAAAAATGTTTTTTTTTCTGTAATTTTCTACCTGCTTTTTTTTCTTTGCAGTTGGGTGTGTACTTTCTTTGCAGTTGGGTGTGTACTTTTTCTTTGCAGTTGGGTGTGGACATTCCACATGCTTTCCCTACATTTATGTTAGGTTTTATCTCATTAATGATTGTCTATAAAATCCATTGTGACCGTAACCACCTTTCAGCCTCTCGCATTTGCTCTTCTTCCAGGCGTTCCCGCAGCACTCGCTCCTCCCGCTCCCTTTCGAGAGCTTCGATCTTGAGTCTTTCCTGCTGTCGTCTCTGGATGCTCTCTTCGCTCAGGTGCCTTGACCGGTCAAAATCTACCTGCACACACACCATTTATGCTGAAGTCACACCGACAAATGTAAAGTATGCACAATCATGTGCACAAAAACGTGCATTTGTCTCTTACAATCTCAATAAGGTTGCCTTGCACCAACTGCTGCTTTGTTCATAATGTATTTTGCAGAAAGACAACGTTTCATGATTTGGGCCATTCAATGTAGCAGTTACCGGACACTTGTATGGTTTTTAAAATTACTTGCCTGGTTTTTAAGAAAAAAAAATATGCCAAGTTGTCTTCCTTTACGAGGAAGCTGGATGCTTCCGAGACAGCACTTGTCTGAAAAGGTGCCGCCACGTGTCGGAAGCTGCGAAAATCAGCCATTCCAGTAAGATCCCAGTGGCACGTCTACTCCTCTGTTATACACATGACAGCCTGCAGCCTCAGTGTGCATTTTCATAAAGTGCACAACTAGGAGTAGAAGATACAGCGTGTTCGTCTTACAGCACTAGCATCGAAAACCATGAAACTAGTTGTGGCACTTTCCTAATGACTCACACAAGTGAATCAATTTATTCAATGCCGGGCATGGCTGTTGCCTGTGTCCATTGTTATGACTACTATTGGTTTTACTTGTGCAGGTATGCACAAGCTCACAATGAGAAAACATGGAAAAGTCAAATCGAACCTACTTACTTAACTTTTTTTTAATTTCCTCATTAATCTTGACAAAACTTGCTGAGATTTCGTTAAAGTGTGTGCTGATTTTAACTATTCAGATATAAACAGACACAAAACTACACACCACAACTGCCATGTGCAATAGTGAACAACATGCACTTGGTCGCGTGGTTACAGAGCGCATTGGCACATTTAAAAAAATTTGGCTAGATATAGCTGAAGCACCTTGTATGAATCCGAGGCCTTTATGGATACAAAATTATGTGAGCACTGATCGTCCTTAGCATACTGTTAACCAAGTACCACTGTGCTTTTACGGTGAACAACATTCGACTATTGTTAATTGAAACTCGAAGGGACCTCTGAATTTTGTTTGAATTTTCAAAAAGTTCAAGTTATCAGAAGTTTCCAGATAACTCTTGGTGAGGTGACACCACACATTATAATTAGGCATTGATTCTATCACATTTAAAAAATTTTGAGCGTCCTTAAGCCCTAACTGCTAGCAGTGAACAGAAAGCAGAGGTGTAATGTCCAGAAGTTTATTGGCCATTTACTGCTGCTGATCAGACCTTTTAAAGAAATCGTGAATTTCAAACTGCTTCATTGGTACAGCTATGTGCCTTCAGCACAAAGTTCTCAATACCAGTTGAGATGCATCACGGTTTACGATGCACGCACTTTGTTTCAAACATTTGTTTATTTGCAAAGCCTTTTCCCTTGAAAGCCTCAGGTGCTTATTTTTTATTTTTAGACTGTTAGGATTATATAAGCACACAAATTTTGAAATAGTGGTGTGAAAGCAGCTGATATTTTCTGATATGGACCTGCAAAAAGTATGAACTGACCAAATGATGGAGTTTGAATTAAGAGGCTTTTAAATACATTGAAAGAATAGAGGGCCAACCAAAAAATTGAATTTTGTTTGAATTGACCAAAAGTATGAATTATCAGAGTTTGAATTATCGTGAGTCTACTGTAATAGCACAGTTACTCTATCTTATAAGCTGCCTAAAATGAGATACCTAGAGGCAATATATAGTTTGTTAGTAGGCTAACTTTATACAGTTCAGTGCAGCTTCATAATTGAATTGAAGAAAAATGCCCTGGTGCAGCAATACATAAATTAGTGCCTTTTTCTCATGATGGATTGTAAAGACATCAACAATAGCCGGAATGCAGCTTCCCATCGCCTCGTACCAGTGGCCAGCACGACACGGTACGCACTTTGATGTTGGCAGTGAAGGCACGTCCCTCAGGCGTCTTCAGCATGAGCTTCATGCCACGCAGAGAGTCCATGGCTTTGACAAAACCCATATACTCCATGTACTGGACATACACATCAAAGGTCAGCTCCTGACTGAAGGAGAATGTTGAGATGCGCCCCACAGGACGTCTCAGCGTCCTTCTGGTATGGGTCGAGCAAGGGAATGTCCAGCCGCCGAACGAGCCCTGGCCCACCAAAGGCTTGACAGACCAGTTGCTCGCTGGGCCGATCAGCATCACGTCGTTTGTCGGCAAACCACTTGCACGGTAGGCCCTGCGGGGAAACACCTGTGCTCAATCTACTTGCAATTATTTCTGGAGTTTCACATGCCATAACAGCAATATAATTGTGAGGCATGCTGCAGTGCCTCACAATCATAGATTAAATAATTAATTTTTACCGCTCAAGGTGTTCCATTATACTCCTCAGCCTAAGTAAATAGGCACTGTTGAATAATACTTCTACTAGCTTAATGTTCTTCTTGTTGCCTAAATAGCAGAACAGAAAAGGACAGGTCAAATATGGTTCTCAGATAGGCCATCGCTACGTTGTATAGTTATTGCAAATATCTACATAAAAGATTGTTTGTTTTTCCTTTATTGAAATGCCACCACTTTATCTTTCGTTTTTTTTTTTTTTCAACCTTTACTAATGCTAGTGATCATTCTCAACAATCAAAATGATTTTAAATAATGGCAAAATCGCAGCAGAACATAATCTACAACAGTGAAACTGATGCACCAGCTCAATTTTACTACTTACATTTTATGGCTGTATTGAGAATGAAGTTTTTCGGGTTTTCTTTTAATTAACACTAAAGCCTCCTTACAGCAAGCACCCCACTTGCTTCACTGTGACCTTTAGTTAAGCTATTACATTTTCGTTTCTTTCACCTGCCTAGTACACTAGCACGAAAATGAAGGCACGTCAGTCATTTACTTTTATAACAAAGCACTTGCTTTAAAATGTACGTGGAAGTACTCCTAAAACCACGGCACGCAAATTTTCCAGAAGCCTTCATATACTTCATAGAGGCCCACAATGTTCCAAAAGGACTTGTTTTTGGGCTAGTTGGTGCATACTTGGTGCAGAAGACTGAGACGCAAAAAACATATCGTGAAGCAGGAAGAGCAGGAGAGAAGACAGAACAGCGCCAACTACCAACTGTTTAATGACCGTCTAGGAAACGCACAGGAAATAAGACAAAACCGCACATGCGTGCACAGCCACCAAGTATGCACCAACTAGCCCAAAAACAAGTCCTTTCTCGTACAGTGAGCTTCGGTTCCCTTTGGATCGGACATATTATGTCTTCAAGTCTCCCTGATGCATACACGGTGGTTCAGAACATCGCGGCGGTGACATGCCAAGCGCGTTATCTAGGATTTTGCATTAGAAAAGGAATCCCGCCCATTAAGTCACTTCACTCTTCGGCGCCGTTATTTCTACGTGGGGCCATATTAGAAGAATGGTCAAGATTTGGCGTTCTGAGCTGGGCCGCCAAGTGAGGTTGTTCAACGACATTCTCAGGTGCCTGTGTCACACCAATTTTCCTACATAAGTGGCTACCAGGAAGCTAAAGGACTACCCCAAGGTGGTGAGTACTGCCATTGAAAGCACGTGGTGCTGTATGCTATCCTGTCTGCTGAGGAGTATGACCAAGACATCTATCAAAAAAGACCGCACCGAGAGGCTAAGAATTATAGGGGATACCAACGTTGATGATAATATAGTATATCTCCTGAATAAGGGTCTTAAATATGGCCTAGAGCCTAAAGTTGCGGCACAGGACCTTCTTGCGTGGAATCGGCAATTAGCAAGGAAGGCGCCACAAGAACAACGTGAACGCTGCCTGCTGGAAGGCATTGACAGTCTACACAAGGCTGCCCCAAAAGCTGATTCTGGGCGACAAGTGTGTGTTGCAACGTGTAGTGACATATTTTAGAGACAATGAACTCTGTCTAATGCTTTCAGATAAGGAAGGTGGGTTTGTGGCTTTATCCAGGAACTCCTATAATGAAAAAGCAAGAGAAGCTATCAACAAGAACTTCCAGCCTGTAAATGTGATGCTATATAAAGTCAAGAGAAATGTCTCTTTGTGTGAAGAAATTGGGTGCGAATCTTTGGCTAAATAGATAAGCAGGAGCAAAAGGATCCCCTTACTGCTTTCTTCAGTGCTAAGACGCATAAAGCCGACTTACCTTTCCGCACCATCATTAGTGAGCGCAGAACTTGGCAATATCAGTTTAGCAGTTTTTTGCTCAAAGCCCTAAATCTTCTTGAAGTTCATGACCCTTTCTTGACAAAAAATTCTGATGAAGTATTTGGGTTCTTCTGCGGAAACCGTGAAATAGGCAACCTTGTTTCCGTAGATATAAATGACCTTTTTTACTCGGTTCTGCATCCGGAACTACTTCGGGCAGTTAAGCAGTGTATAGAAGATAGTGGCGAAGCCACCTTTGTGTCTAAAATGGACATGTTGTCTGATAATTTTGTTACCCTCTTGAAAGCATATCTCAACCACACTTTCGTTTCTTTTGAACATGGCATGTTTTTACAGAGGAAGGGCATTTGCATTGGGTCACAGGTAGCCCCGATTTTATGTGACGTCTTTTTATCATCCTTTGACCACGCACTACAAAGTGTTTTTACTTCATCTAATCCAAATGTTCTTGAAGTATTTAGATATGTAGATAATTTTTTAGTTGTTATTGACAATAGATGCCCTTTTCCTTTCCCTGTGATGGTCGAGCAGGTTTTAGATGTTTGTAGAGCAAATGCTAAGGGGCTCACGTTCACTAATGAACTTCTGGAAGATAGCTCCTTGCAGTTTTTGGACCTTAACCTGACAATTTCGGCTGATCACGTATGCTGTGCGTACCTCCCTCGGAGTAAGAAGGAGTTGTTACTTTACGATTCAGCGCATTCAAAGACTGTCAAATGCAGAATCGCTCTACTTAGCTTAGAGTTGGCACTACGCAGATCGCGTGAGCATGTTATGAAAGCTAACTTTATGCGTCAACTTCAAAGACTTTCCAAGGTTGGCTACCCTCAGTCTGTAGTTAGTTCCGTGGTGGAATCCCTGCTGCAGAGGGTGAAAGGCAGAGTAGCTAATGCAAATGCGCGCCCGAAGGAGAGAGAGCGGGTTAAGCCTGAGGTGGTCCCGTATATACACCGTGTGAGCCATAACCTCAAGAAGGTGGCTTCCCGTTACGGCGTTCCGGTCGTCTATTCAGCTCCCAATAAACTTGCTAAATTGTGCCCGCGTATCACATGCGATGAGCAAAGGGACTGCGAGAAGCAGCACACAAGACTTTTTAGGCGCTGCGCACAAGGCGTGGTATATGGGACTCCCCTAGACTGTGGCAAGTTCTATATCGGTCAAACGGGGCGTTGCATTAATGACAGACTGAGGAAGCATGCCAATAGTTTAGGCAAAAGTGAGCATGCGCATCTTCCAGCGCACTGTAAAACCTGCGGATGTGTGCCATTGTTTGAGAAAACGGTGATTCTTGGTAGGAGCAAAAAACAAACAGCTAGAGAGCTCTTGGAAGCCTACTTTATCAAAAAGATAGGGTCCGATTGTATCAGTGATACATCTATTGTGTTGTACTCAACAGAAATGCAGTTTTTGGATAACTTAGTGCCTTGATCATGACGTTGTGCGATGTTTGTTGGCTGTGCACGCATGCGCGGTTTTGTCCTCTTTCCTGCGCGTTTCCTAGACGGTCATTAAACAGTTGGTAGTTGGCACTGTTCTTTTTTCTTTTCTGCTCTTCCTGCTTCACGATATGTTTTTTGCGCCTCAGTCTTCTGCACCCACAATGTTGCCAATGAAATAATCTAATCCAAAAAGGAGGACACAAGCTTGTTATGAGGGTGGTGCTTGAGCTTAATTAGCAATGAATTGCTAAAGACCAAATGAGCTCACATTCACATGAGCCCAATGAGCAAATCTCAGGAAGACAAAGTGACCCGAGCTGCTTTTGTGAAGTTTGTGTCACTGCCTTGATATCTAACACACTGTTCCTTAGTGAAAACGCTGTGACGTTCGAAGAACTATTAGAAATGAATTTGATCTTGACCCAGTCGATTATGAATCACTTCAGGTTAGCTCTGTGGAAACCAGCATTGTTGAATCCCAGACCAGGACAATGTTTTCTTCAAAGCTTTTTTTGTGAGAAACTCCGGTTATGAATTACCTTGTTATGCATGGATGACAACTTTTTCCCTATTTTGAACTTCCCTTTGTCACGCGGACTTTATAAGAAATGATTATCTATTGTCACTGTCCTTGTGCGTCAATATGTTAATTAACCATCGAAATAAATCTGCTAACCACCTACTTGGTTCAGATGGTACAGCAACTGTCCTAGATACGAGTTGTGCTAGGGTTTGAAACGAAAACCAGGTTGAACTTATCCTAGTAAACTGCACTTCCTTTCTTACAAGAACTCACATGGGCATTTTTGTAGCTTTTTCACTACAAACGGAAGGGCATTTTTTTCTTCTTCTTACCTTGATATTACATGCTATTGAAAGCCCTTACATGGCTGACATTTCTAAAATTTTGAAATTAAGAGCCACTTTATAGTCTCATAGCAGATCTCAACACATGGCCTTCAAGATTTCCTGTGTTTGGTGGCAGCATGCTCGGAGATTATCCTCAGGCGCCAAGCTAGCTAGTGAATACATAGATTTGTGCCATTTTCTATGTGTGGTATCAAAACCACTTTTCACCTTTCTCTAACCAAAATGACATTATTTGTTAGATTTTTCAAGATACCCGCATTCATATTTAAAATATGAAATATTTTCATGTAAGCAGCTCTACATATGTAACTACTTGAATGCTTCCGAAATGTCGCTTCAGTTGGTTTTAATGTCACTTGTGATTCAAACGGATTCTTAACAAATGCCTACAGCTTTAAACGTCACACAGCAAAATGTTTACAGAGTTACACAGGACAAACCAACATACTGCATGGCCGCTGTTTTTTTTTTTTTTCATTATTATCTTGTAAGTTGCCTTATCCTTTGCCATTGTTCATCAGCAGTCAATTTTTCTTTTTATCATTAGAAAACAATATTTTTCACATTCAGGTTATCTCAAGAATAAAAAACTGTCTTACTGCGACTTTTGCAAAAGAATAAAGCACAAAGCAGGAACACTATTCTGCATTAAACTAAGTGCTCACAGCAAAGGATTTTTTTTCCTCTCTTTCATGGCCACCGCGTTTCTCAATCATTCATAGATCTTTGTTTGCACACGACTGCCTGCAAGGACATTTGTAATCGTGAGGTGTTTGAGCACACGTCAGCTGAAATAATGAGCTCAGCATGCTGTGCCTTCTATCTGTAATCACTCATAAGATTCTTTTGTATTTGTAGTTTTCAACAGCTGTGCTGAGGTACCAAAAATGCACTTGGGTAAAATGGTTACAGAACCTGGTATCCTATAAATGTGATGTGGCCAGCAGATCAGATTCTACAAGAATTCTCGAGATGCGCATATGCTGAATTATTTATAGCACAACCGTACGCTCTACTGCCTCCTCAATGCTAATGAGAAATCCAAACTGTAATTTTTGTTTTCTGATGTAACTAACCTAGCCAAACACTTTGAAAAATATCGTGGGCAATTGGCAACACGGAGAGGACAATGGTTAACAGTAGTTGTTTGTTCTTTAGGTTTGTTCGTTAAACATAAATTCTTGGACGCTTTCGCGTCCTTGCTTCATATGGAATGACGATAGTTATAGCGCGAGAACCAAACGACGACACAGAGACAAAAAGGACACGAAAGACACGAGTCTTTCGTGTCCTTTTTGTCTCTGTGTCGTCGTTTGGTTCTCGCGCTATAACTATCGTCATGCCATACCAACTAGCCCAAGCTGCCACACTTCTAAGTTTCATATGGAAGTTTTATACGCGTTCATAAATGCGTTCGTGACGACGCACAACTAAACAGGGAAACGAGGACAATATGCGCGCTTTACAACACACAACGTTCACATTTTAAAAAGCACAATCTAGCAATTTTTAAAGCTTTTTTCTTCAAACGCTCTCGCACCTCACCTGCACGTAAATGGTGTCCGGCCGTTCACCTGGCTTCATCTCGTCCATACCTTTGGCATCGCGGAAGTAAGAGTCCCAATCGTGCCGCGTTGGGAACGGAACCTTGGCTTCCGCAGCACGAACGCGCAAGTTCTCGGGGAAACCACTCAGTTTGACCGTACTGCTGTCGAGCCGAGCGACGACGGCTTTGAGGGCGCCACGGTTCTCCACTTCGCCTTCGAAACGGATGAAATCTAGAGTCGTCTTGCTAATCTTCAGAGTTGTGAACTCGTCCGGCTTGATGGTCTGCCGCAGTTTTTCCATCACTTCCCAGCTCGATATGCTCCTCCCGGGCGTCTTCATTTGAGGCAGCTGTATGCTGACGTTTAAGCGGGCGATCGCTTTCAAGTAGAGTCCCAAAGGAGCGCACAGTTCCACCGCGTCCGATGTGTCACGACACGTCTGTATCGAGGACATCCTTGCAGGAACTGCAGGTCTCGCGCGAAAGTCTTCCCGCCGATGAGAACGGCGAGTAGTAGTAGGGACGGCTGCAAAGCGGCGGCCGCAGACGCTGCCGACAGCGAGCCTAAGTTTACAAAGTCTGCGCAGCCTACATGTATTTGCGGTGTACTAAGATGCTAAATTAAGGCTACCACTACGCGAGAGCTTCTCAGTGGCGGTGTTTGCACGATGAGCGGAGGAAATCGCCTTTCAACGAAATGAGAACACGAAGGCGAAACGCGCAGCTACGCTGGCGAAACAATCTACTACAGTGGCAAATCTACTAAGAACGCCGCCATGTTTGCAGTAAGCTTCGTGCAGCGTTGCCTGCTCAGTTGCGTTATGCCGCTGAATAACGTTTATATTGTCTAACTTGCAGCTCGCCAAGCAAAAGCATTTGATTTTAAATAAATGAAAAGTGGTGTCGTTATTGTTTAAATTTTTATGCATAATGTAAAAAATTTTGCATGTGAGAAAATGCGAAATTTCGCGAAAGCATAAACACAAGCATGTTTACCAGCGCCATCAGCGTATACTCTCTATCAACACCCCGCTGTGCAGGCGCCTTTTACGAACAAAACATGCGTGAATTTATCGCTATGCACGAATAGTGTGGTTTTGCCACCATTTGCGCGATAATATGTTTGAAAAATTGTGATCGCAGTGAAGTTAAGCCAGGTTGAGCCAACGTTGGTTGAGCACACATACAAAAAGAATGGCTACTGCGCCAGGTGAGCCTTCAGTTCGTAAAGTGTTAGTTTGTCCTGCAACACGAAAAACAGTGAGACAATTTGCATGTGCCCACAAGTATTCGAAATAATGCCTTGATGCTCACTATATTAACATTCATATATAAAATTGAAGTTTAATAAATTGAGAAGTGAGCAAGGCACGTATAATCGGAGTGTCTAGTGAGTGAGAATTTATTAGAAGGCAGAGAGGTCGGCCTGAGCTAGTTCGCTCTAGCCTTCTACTCTACACAGGAGATAAAGGTAGGAGGGAGGAAAGAGGCATGAAGGATGATGATGAGGACAAGAAGTGGTAGTGCGTATGTACAATAGCCACTTAGCATAGTACCCTACAGTCTAGTATCTAGTCCAGTGCTTTTGATAAAGTCTAAAACAGTCTTTGTTGCAGTTTTTGACACTGTTTGGTCTTTCATTGCTGACAATATATGGCTTTCACTCAGTGGCGTTCGTCCGATGCTTGCCAACGTTGCAGTTAGTATTTCTCTTTGCTCCACGTACAAGGGGCAGTCACAAAATATGTGAGCTAAAGTTTCGCTCACTTGGAAGCACTCACAGTTAGGGCTGTCCGCAAAACCGTTTAGGTGGGTGTAGTGATGATTGAAGGCGACGCCCAGGCGAATCCGGTGCAGTATATTAGCATGTCTTCGGCTCATTTTAGCTGGAAGACGAAAAGTTATATCGGGGTCTGTTTCCCGCAGACGCTTGTTTCGATGATCTGGTAGCGACCAGTAAGTGGCAGTGGATTCGTGCATGAGCGATCTCAACAATGTGTTGACGTCACTTTGCGAATACGGTACTTTGACGTACATTGGAGCGTTCTATACTGCCGCTTTTGCTTCGCTATCGGCTATTCCGTTGCCAACCAGGCCGCAGTGTCCCGGAATCCATTGGAGTGTAATCAAGTGACCACTCCCGTGGGTTGGGTCAAATGCTTGGACGATTCCTAACGCTAATGCGTAAAATTGGCTTCTTCTTGAGTAAGAATGGATGGCTTCAAGCGCTGATTTTGCATCGCACAGAATCGTCCATTTACGCGGTGCTTGGTCGTTCACAAATTTTATGGCTTCCCGTATAGCAACAAGCTCTGCAGCTGTCGAAGACGACCTGTGATCTAATTTCAACTGTCGGGAAATACCGAGTTGAGGGATCAGGAAGGCTGCAGCTGAGGCGGACGAAGTTACGGATCCATCGGTGTAGATGTGCACAGAGTCGCTATATCGGTCATCCAAATGTGCCAAGGTGCTTGAGGGCAGTATAACAAACATGCGACTTATTCGAAATTTCGCGTATGTGAAGGCACACCAGTGGTTTAGTCAATGTCCATGGAGGCACTCTGCTGATTACGGCAGGTGCAAAGCCTGAAGGGATCATGTGTCTATGCGTATCGAGGCATCGTGAATAGGTACAGCCTGGTCGGTCCGCTTGTAGCAAATACAACGGGTGCTGTGCATGTCGGGTCAGCAGACGAGGTGTCTAGATAATGTAGGCAGTATATGGCAACCGCGATTAAGTAATCTTCCATACTGAGTAAGGCTTGTATTGATACTTGCCTGTGTACCCGGCTCCACTTCGTGTATAATTTCTGTTATCTTTCTCTGTCAGTTACTTTGTAATATTTCTATCTACTCATATTCAGCACGTCTGCCCACACATATTCCAAAGCAGTATCGTTACCGTTTCAATACTTATTGATCAGAAAGAGAAGAAATTGTATAGAAAAAGGAGGGCAGGGAGGTTAACCAGACCAGTAAAGTCGGTTTGCTACCCTACAAGGGGGAATGGGAAGGGGGAGATTGAAAGAGTTAGAAAAATAGAGTGGAGAGAGAGAGCATTAGTTGGGTGACAATGCTCCTTGCGATACCTGTCATTGCGAGGCACGGCGCATCGGGAGCACGGCGCATTAGGCACTGCTCCGTGCTCCCACCGGGTTGCAGAAATTAGGTGCCTTTTCTCATCTTCTAACCACTACCACCACCACCATTGCGAGGAGATGCTGCACCACATCCTGTGTGACTGCCCAGTATATCAAGATGCGCAGAGACAGTCACTGGAAATGTCGGTTGAATGTATTCTTGAGAGGACATCGCAGCCGCAGGCGACCAAGGAAGTCCTGACGTTTCTTAGAAAAACTCATTTGGACAAGCGGCTGTGACAGCGATGCCTCGTATACTGCACGAGCGTGATCGACATGTAACTGACTGAATGTTTGTGTGTCCTGTGTTATCTGTATACTGATTAGAGGCACGAATTACGTAAGGGAGTGTCTTTAACTCCCCGCCCCCAATTCTTCCAAGGAAGCTTTTAATCAATATATCGGATATTTTCATCTCTTTCAAGAAAAATGTCCTTACTTGTTCGCAACCATTCATCACTCGTATGCCACGATACTATACTACAAGTCGCCATGAATACCACCGATTACGTGAGACATTGGTTTTAAAAAGCATTGATACCGTGGTCGAACAAGCTAATTCTTGGCCAATAGACTCATGAGTTGACTCGCTCGAACTCACTCAGACCAAGCCGTGAGTCTGAGCCTGAGCGAAACCGGGGTAGTAATATTTCTGTGAGTGTGAGTCCGAGTAAGTGCAGAGCGGAAAATATATTCAAACCATGAGTGTTTGTGAGTGACATCCACAATTTTTGCCGACCTATGGTATCATCTCAGGTTAAAACGTGGGGTTTGTGTGTTTTTATTATAAATGTCTATATTTTATGAGTTTTACAAGTATTTTGTTTTTAGAATCCCAGCTCGGTATTCATACCCAATTATCGTTGGGGAACTCTTGTGTGCCTTTGTGATGGCTGTCACAGCATTGTTTGTCGTGTGATGCTGATGCATTCTTGTAGTACCGGCATGTGTAATCTGTACGCCTATTCCTGCTCTGGCCGCGGAAAGAGGCGGGCAAGGTTGAAAAGAAATAAATAAGTAAATAAATAAAATAAATAAAAAATAAATACCTTGCACTTGCTGCACTTTGTGAAACTAAAAGCTTTACCCGTTGCGCACCTTACAGCCGCGTTCTACACTTTGCCCCGCCGCGGTGGTCTAGTGGCTAGGTACTCGGCTGCTGACCCGCAGGTCGCGGGTTCGAATCGCGGCTGCATTTCCGATGGAGGCGGAAATATAATTATATGGTGGTTTTGGGACGTTAAATCACACATATCAATCAATCAATCGTTCTACACTGTGTTGCGATGCGGCATGGCTCAGTCCACGTTCTTTTATCTAGCGAACGACCACATTCGGGGGATTCACTCGCGACGAGCCGGTATGCAGCGTCGCCCAAACGGGCGGTACTCGCTGGAATAGTTTGTCGTCGGTAGGCGCTGCTAGTGAGTCCGTCGCGAGATTTGCTCACGCCGGCCGTGCCGTGCTGTCACGCGATACAGCTTCGTCGGCAAACGCCGCAGCAGATCGAGTCGTTCGCGCAGGGTGGCGTGTCGGGCGCGGGCTGGTGGGCGTGGCATTTGCCGACCGGTGCCGACGTTTCGGAGCACGCGGATAACGCAGTCGTCGTGGTGACGGCTCGTCTCTCGGCAAAGGCGCTCCTGTGTCGGTGAGTGCGTGCGTCCTTACCTATAGCGGCGCGGCAACGTTTTCCCGTTCGCAGCCCGTCCCTGTTTGTCAACGTGCGTGGAGAGACGAAATGTCAGCTATAAAGTTGCCATCTGGAAGGTCGTTCCCGTATACCGGTTATTTTGAAAGTGATAATGACGTACGTCATGTTTCTAGAAACAAAATGATCTATAGCATGTCACAAATCGTGACGCCGATTCTGAAATAATGTATATATACTTCTTGGTCCACGGTTGCTTCCGCACATGGTGAACCAGGGGTGTAGGCAGGCACCTCCTTGAAATAAAGAGAGGAGGAGGGGGGGGGGGGGGGGCACCTCCTTGAAGTAGTCATTTTTCGCTCTATATGCAATGGCAAAAACGTTTTTCGAGAGGATGGGGAGGAGGAGGGGGCATGAGCCCGGTGTGCCACCTCCAGGCTACGCTAGTGTGGTGAACGCGTGGGGTGCCTCACAAAAAAATTAAAAGAAGTAGTGCTATGAGACAAGTCAAGGCTGTTTAGCTCGGGAACATTGTTATCAAGGAAAAAAAATATGGGTATATAACAGTCATGTGCCGTCCGGGCTACATGTATGAGGGGAAGGGGGGGGTCAAACGTTCCTTGAATTTTTTTGTGTGCGTTTTTTTGTTTTGCATACATGTACGCGTACTACGAAGTACGCGGTCGAACCCCTCCCCTTCTCCACCCTGAAAAAAGAAAAAAAACCTGGCTACGTTACTCTTTGAGATCCTGACTGGTGATAGGTGCTGTGCGAAGAACCATGATTCATGCATTACCGATTTGGTTCATTTAAATAATAGGCGGTTTGTCAAACAGACGCACAAATAGTGTTCGCTGCATGAAGCATCCAATGCAGCTTTATCGTGTAACGTGGCATGTGATTGTATATTTAAAGAAAAAAAAACGCCAGGACAACGTTCACGGTAACTCGACA